AAAAATAAATCATGATAATTGAAAAAATCTGATATTTGTTCAACTGCAGAAGCACATTTGTCTTTCAATATTTCGTCATCTGGTGCTGAGATGATCATAGAAATGTCGTCAGCATAAGCTGTATAATGAACTTTAGAAACAACAGAGTCTATATTGTTTACATATAGGATAAAAAGAATTGGGCCCAGAATGGACCCTTGAGGTACACACATACCTACGCTTAAAGGCTCAGAATTTATACTCTGGATTTCATTATTGACCGTACACTGGAGAGATACATATTGACTCCTACCTTCAAGGAATGAGGATATCCAGTTGAGAAAGGCAACTCTTAGCCCATACTTTTCCAATTTCAGTAAAAGTTTTTGGTGACTGACTCAGTCGTATGCCCGACTTAAATCACAGAAAATCGCCGCCGAGCATTCACCTGACTCAATACATCTAATTACCTCATGACATGACAAAAGTACTCTTTTATCATACTATGGCCAGAACGAGACTATAGGTAGAATTTTGAGACTTGCTAACACTTACAATGTGGATTTTTAACTTTTCAATTCTTCTTTGTAATCAAGTTCCGTGGTGGCCGTACCGATAACGTCCGCCCACAAAGAAGTTACATGGATACCGTGTGCCATCTCGTGGCTCCATTGTGTGTAGTGATTGTCTGGCATAAAAATAACCTATATGAGGAGTATCCCCTTTATTCACGCCGATATCCAGGCCGGATGGTTTCGATAACCACGTAAAAAGGGCCATGCACGTGGAAAAAATCAAAAGGTCTCTCTAGGAAGAGGCGAATGTTAAAAAGCTGATGTTTTGAATTAAACAAAAAATGAGTAGAAAACTAGGTGGCAGAATTGCCTTGAGGCAAGATTGCTGACAGGACAGGAGAAAATTGGCCAAATGCGCCCAAGAGGGAAGCAATGGCCATACAAAGGGTGTTGCATAATCCGGCATCGTAGGCAGGGGATATTAAAATAAGACCTCAAGTTCCTAATGAGGGCTTTTTCACTTGTGTGAATTTAATGTTATTTAATAAGGATTCATGAATAACAGAACAATGAATTTATAATAAAAAGAAAATTGTGTGAAATTATATATTCTTTAAAATTTGACGTATATAGTCAAAGGTGTTTTTTGTTCAGTTCACACAGTTGTAATCAGAAAAAACAATAGAAATATCATTAAAAAAAAATATTGAAATTTGGTATATACGATCACTAATAAAAGTTTTTGGATTGCGAAACCACATCAGTCGATTAAAAAAAAGTGTAGATATGTGTCCATTCCAGTTTTCTTCTTTTATAGTTTCTGTTTTATCTCTGAAACAATGTCGTTCAAAGATAAATTACTCTCGCAATTTGATTCTGCTTCGTCATCTATAAATATTTGTACTCTGAGGAAATAGGTTGTGTAAAAGGTTTGGTCTGCAAAAGAAATAAATTAATAAATAAAATACCAATACACTACACTATGATAACCCTCACTGCTGTTTGTTTTCAGGAATAACAAAGAATTGACATCCATTTTTTCAGCAACACATTGTAGACTCATAACGGGCAAATTCATATATTTGTTTCTTTGACCAATTTCCGTGTGGAAGGTTTCACTGGAAATGTTGCTTAAATTGTCGATTACTTTAGGACGAATCCTCACTGAATTCCTATGAAATTCCTTATTCACAGACTTGCAGTAAATTTCAATTAACTTCCGCCTGAAAAAATCCATTTAAGAAATGTAAGATGACAACATTGGTCACCTTCATCAGAGTCATATGAATTATGGCAATAAAATGAAATAATTGCATTCACTATAGCGTAAACATNTTTAATTATTCTTTTTTACTTGTTTCAGGGATTTCAAATCATTTTATATAATAGACAATGGAAGTCCGAACTAGTGAAATTCATCACGAAACATTGTCAATCACCTTCAAACAAACGCTGTAACTAATTGATCATTCTAGCTCAATTGATACAATTTTAACCCTGATGGAAGCATAAGGAACCATATTAGTATCCATTCATCTTTCAATATAGAATCATCTGGTTACGCTATAGATAAACATATTGATTCTTCCATATGTCAACAGTGCCGTATTTGCTCCATTAGTATGGTTAATAAAATTTACTTCATGTGAATCTACCCGACTCATTTTGATCGTCGATATGTAAGAATTTTGTTAAAAATGAAAATTTTCAAAAAATGACTGCCTATTTTTTGTATTTATTAAGAAACTAGCGACTCACCCCGGCTCCGCACGGGTGCAATGCTGATACCTAAATATACATACGCGGCACGCGCCGCCGGTACCGCCGCAACCGCTGTGTCCCTGCATTTCAAGTCTAATTTCTTCGAACATATTCCTTTAAATTACATTCTGTAAAGAGCCATATTGATCTATATTAAATGCACAATGTATTTAAGGTACTTAACTGGATAAGGATTGATGCTGTATTGCTTAAAATCGCTTCCTAAATAAACCATTGTTTCTCGAGGATAAAAAATTGTTATTGTGGGTTATCTCTAATTGTTCATTTTAACAATGTTTGCCATAGAACTTGATATAATCTGATGAAAGTGACCATTGTTGGTTTAGCAATGTTTCCTAGAATACCTTTCAGTGAATGTCAACTCAAAAACATTTTTATCACCCAGTCTCAGTGCGTCAATGACATGAAGACTATATCTGAATGTAGAATTTTCTTTGGTTTCATTGATGACCCTTTCTTTCACAAATTCTCCATAGAGTAAAGTCCCCATGCAAAGTTGAAGATTCTTTAGTTTCGTCCATTCAGTTTTTTGTAAGCGGAACACTCTAGAAGATCCTACAGCTGATTTCAAAGTAAATGAGTTATTTTGAAAGTTTTCAATAAATGTAACGTGGAATATCATATATTTTTTGGGAGGGAAATGCCTATCGTTTTTTAATATTCAGTGTTATTCAGCTCAATATTTTCGCTTAGGTTTGAAAAGTATGTATACATCTTTTAAACAGCTTTCGAGATACAGCGTGTATTCATGAAAAACAATCAGATAACAATTGCAAAAAATTCAACATTTTTTATGTAAAATGAAATAATTCTAGGATACACTGTTGCACAACCTTGTACGTAATGAATTCAATAAACAGAATAGAGATACCACTATAGACCAAATATATATCATAACTTGAAGTTGCTCTACACTAGTCTTTCTCAAAGTGGGCGATAACGCCCTCTTATGGGCGCTGGAGGCCTATAGGGGGGCAGTGAAGGGCACAGAGAAGATTGGGGGGCGTTGAAGCGATTTAAGGGGGCAATGGCTAATTTGAAAAAGTTTTTTTTCTTCTAACACAAACTTTACGCTTAACGCGCGTTTCTTCGTGTAACGCCATCTAGGGAACTAGACAGTAACTATTTCCTTTCCGATAGTTGTCAAACTGTACAATAGATGGCGGTAAGCTTCAATAATCGAGAAGTTTCTAGTTTCCATTCTCGAAAGTACTAGGCCCGCCCGCTGCGGCGCTGCCTCATATAAAAGCGCGCGCGCCATCCAGCTAGTAATGTCATTCGACGATATTACGAAAACAAGGTAAACCTCACACTATTGGAAAGGAATTAAATTTTACCGGCAATAAAAGAAGTAATAACTACTGGGCTCCATAAACCAGCGGCAGCTATTAACAGAAAAATTTCTTTGAGCAATAATAATAGTTCCGTGCAAAGACGAATTGATGAGATGGTTGAAAACATTGAAGAGTAATTGTACAATCATCTGAAGATTTCTCAATTCAGTTAGATGAGTCTACTTTACCAACCAATAAAGCATTGTTGTTGTCATACGTGAGGTTTATTAAAAATGAGAAAATATATCAAGAACTACTATTTGCCAGAAATTTAAATACGGATACAAAAGGAGAAATCATATACGAGTATAATACACTGGAAAATTTTTGTTATGAGAAAGAAATTCCACTGTAGAATATTATATAAGTTGCTACGGATGGCGCTCCGGCTATGACAGGACGTCACAAAGGCTTCATAGCGTACTTAAAAAATAAAAATTCCAGATGTGCTTGCTGTACATTGCGTCACTCATAGGCAACATTTGGTTGCGAAAAATTTGAGTGAGCGCCTCTCTCAATCACTGCAATATATCATCAAAGTAGTCAAAAAAATCCGAAACAGATTTCAACCGATTGCTATTTCACAGAGAAGTGCGTTGGTTATCAAGAGGTAACTGACTCGATTTTACAATCTATTTGACTCTGTAAAAGAGTTCTTGGAGAACAAAGACAAAGAATTGCACGACAACCTCATCACTTCAAAGAATGATATTGCGTACTTGACCGACCTGTATAAATCATTTAATGATGTCAATCTCCAACTTCACACAAATCACCGTCCAAAAATTGAATGAACTGAGCGTCGAAGGTCGACTTCCATCTTCTTGAGAACTTTTTCAATAATTCAATAGTTCTGACCTGTTCTACTACATTAAGGAAATGCAATTGTATTACATAAAAACGGTTTCTCTGCCTCAAAACATTTCCAAAAAAACAGGATGTCAGAAAAAGTATTTGAAATTAGTTTTTTAAAGTTCTACACAATCTACCAATATTTCTCTACCATTCTTCAAAGTTTGTAGTTTACATTTGATAGACTCTTGATACAGATTTTTTTTTTAATGCTGAATTTTTCAACACATTATGTTCCAGCTGATATTGCAATACATTATTTTTAAACTTATTCCACATTGGTTTCCAATCTGAATATTTAGTTCATACAAATTTCATTTCATCAGAGAATTATATTCTAATCAACTAACAAATGTTAATACATTGAGAGGATAGATGATGAAACTTTTTACTTGAATATTTATCAGAAAGTAATCTTACCAGCATAAAAATGAATATTATACGAATTTCGGCTGCTGCATAAAGGGGAGTAGTGCCAATCTTCCACATCTGTAAATATTTCCTTGAAATTTTCCACTGTTTTGATCACTCGGGGTAGCATTGTGAGAATTTCTGAAAACAAAACAACCTTTTATATTTAGCCACAAATGGCTTTGGAAATGTTTACTTTGGTTATGCATGGCCATATTCAACAAGTCGTCCACCTTCAATTCTTTCGGGGGTTCTTTAGGTTCATCAGGTATATTCCAAAATCTTAGGCACTCTGTCCTACACTCTTGTTGTCTTATCTCGACCAGACTTTTATTGTGGCAAAAAGTTGCCAGTTTTTCAAGACCCATTGTTTGTCTGATTCCGAGTCTGGAAATGAAAATCAACTACCATTGGTTCAATGCGTTTTATGCCAAAAAAGAAATGAAGAAGCACATTTGGTTCGATACGAGTCACAACTAGTTGTGAAGGGATTTTCCCAATCATATGGAGTCTACGGAGTCAAACATTTGAGCCTTTGTGCGGTCAACAAGTTTGATATTCTTGAGAACTACAGCATCTTAAATGATAGGAATATCAGTCGAATGGATGCTATTACAGTTTTTCTCCATCCTGAGCTAGAAAACGAGGATACTTACGAGGGTGGTCAGAAGTATCCGGCCCAACAAAGAAAACACAAAAATTTTGGAAAAACGGTTCGATACCGTTTTTATAATAAGAACTGTCTTGTTCCTCAAAATAGCCATTAACTGCCGACATCACTTCTTCATCATTGGAAAATCATTGACCATTGAGCCATTTTTTCAAGATTGGGGCCAATTGAGTTTGCTATCCAATATTTTACGAAGGAGCAGACTCACCCAGAGTAGAATCGAGTTCAGCTTTTATATTGGTGGGGCTGAGGCCTTTCAAATAAAAGTATTGTACCACAAAACGATGACCAATTTTCTCCATTTTCACAAATTCACCAAAAACATTAGCTGTTGATGGCTGGCTGCCAAACAAATGATAAACAACGCAGTGTCTTCAAACTTGAAACATATGCTTTATAGATTGTGTGCTTTCTAATACAGTGATATTTTTTCAAGCAACTACCGCCATCTCTTGGTCAGGCCGCGTACTTCTGGGACCACCCTTGAATATAATACTAATTATAGCCTTTATTACCTACAGTTGAAAACCACTTACAGGGTTAACTAAGTATGGTTAAAAAGTAACAAAGGTGCTTATAACTATAAAGTTACAATTTGAGAAAATGAATAACAATAATATAATAAATAAAAAGTTACTTGAGAGAAAGCAATGTGTCAAAGTAGGTAATATGTTAAGTAAATATGAAGTGATGAAGTTTGGGGTACCTCAAGGTACCATACTTGGTCCAATTCTTTTCACAGTATATCTTAATAACCTGTTTAATCTCCACTCTGATGGGACAATTATAAGCTATGCAGACGACACATCAGTTTTTTATGAAGCCGAAAACTGGAACTCGCTCATCACTAAAGCACAAAATGACTTTAAAATGAATTTCAAACTATTGACTATACATTTTTCTAAAACAAAATATTTAGCCTTTTCAGTGAATAACAAAAACTTACCCAGTCTTCAACCCCTTGAAATCAGAGGTGAAAACAACATCGTGAAAATCACACAAGCTACAGAAATAGAGTATTTCGGTAGTAATGATAGACAATCATTTAAAATGGAACTTACACATTAGGAAGGTAGTGCAAAAAATTAGAAGCCTATTGTCTAAATTCAAATATTTAAGAAACATTCTTCAACAAAAACATCTCTTAATGCTGTATTGCGCATTAGTAGAATCCCAACTGAGATATGGCATAATAGCTTGGGGAGGGGCATATAATAACATTATAAAGAATGTTGAAATAATTCAAAAATGGATTTTGAAAATAATATTCAGAAAACCAATTACCTACCGATCAGATGACCTTTACAAGCTTGGCAATATATTATATGTAAAACAAATATTTCATTTGACACTTGCTGTTGACCAGAAAAAAAATCGGAGCAAAATATTCCTAGATTATTCCTACTCCACAAGGTCAAAAAAATTTACCATTTTAGTTCCACATGTGACTAAAACAATAGCCCAGAGATCCAGCATGTTTCTTGGGCCAAAGATATAGAACGATCTACCAAATAAATTGAAACAACTAAACTCATTATCTCTGTTCAAGAAGAAGCTGAAATTATGGCCGACTTCAAGGTGAAGAATTTTAACACATCGATTAATCGATATAAAAAATACATACTATGATTGACATTAAGTTAAGGCTAGCTAAAATAATTTCTTTCACACACTCGTTCTGTCAGATTTTTCTGTGGAAATCTGAGGCATGCCATTATCATATCAACACAAGTTATACTTTCCTGATTTTGATGATCGCGCTTGCCCCATATTTCATGATTAATTTATGACGTAAATATAACGTTTGAAACGATTCTTTTGTACTAATTATCCTTACTTCACAACAAATTATAGTTACAATTCGTATATTCTGATGAATACTCTCAATCTTATCGTTATGATAACCTGAATAGTAATTTTATTTCTATGAAATTATTTAGTATTATTTCCTTGGAAAAAAATTATATTGTTTACACTTTTCTTAAGCCCTTTTTGTTCCAACTTTCGTCTACTGCTCTTTTTATAATCAAGCTATATCTGAAACTCTCGAGCTAGTTGACAACACATTCTTCTGGTTAACCTATAATCTCATTTTTACCCTTGTTTTCTTTTCCATCAATTTGACTGTATTACATTTGATTCGTCAACATCACACCATAATAATATGTCTTCAAAAGCAAAATTGACCTGTCCGAGCATTTTTGCGTTAAGTTACAAAAAAAGGAGAAAAGCAAGATGCATACTTTTCGTTGGACCAGTCTGTATACTATAAAATGTTATGAATAAACTTATATTATTATTATTATGTGATGCCAAAAGGTAGTTCCTGACAATTACATTTAAACTGACTTGTTTTTTTTCGATAAATTTCAATACCATTTTGATCAGTACATACACAGAAAAAAACGTAAAAACATACCGTCGATTCGTTTCATAAATATATCGATAAAAATCTTGATCTTCTTTCAGAATACAAAGAGGAACAATTTCCAAAATGTCCACATCAGATTTGTCCTTAATATCCCATAATCGATTCACAATATCCTTGAGATAATTTTTGATATTCTCAGTTGATGGAGACTTTTTCAAGCTTGAACAAATCAAATATCGTTCAGAATTCGCTGGTCGCGAAGTATTTGGTTTCAAAATTGTTACTGAAATACAAAGGAAAATGAAATCATTATTTTTTACACTCATGCTGAACGGGTTTACCCTTTTTAAAACATTTGTACATTAAGTAAAGTAAGCCTACACTGAAAGGCGTGAAAGTGTCAAACAGTTTAGTGACAAAATGACCATGTGTTCGAATTATTTCTAGTGCAACTACGCACTGACAAATGTATATATTTTTGGAAAGAATCTCCTGGAGATTTTCATTTCCCTCAACTGAAAAACCCTGAAATATAGAAATTAGATACAAGGAGCATTGCATTTATAAAAATAGAGCAGACCCCATCAGACATCATGAAATGTACTCCTTGGTTGTCGGTCGCATGTAAAACTTTGTTCTTGAAGTCTTCAATGTTTTCGGGCGAACAAACATTTCCATCTTCCTCTTTCCCATATAATGGTTGAAAACAAACATGAGATGGACAAACGTAGTCATTCATATTGAAATCATGCTCCCCCTTCAAGGTGAGACCGAAGCCTTTGAAGAACCATTCCTTTCGCCAAAGAATGTATTGAGTGAACCCACCTGGGCCTGCACATACATCTGCAAAGTAAAAAGGACCTTTGTGGTCCTTGTGATATTCCTGAAATATTTCAAATTTATAATACGAACTGAACAACAAAATTTCTCAATTCCATCGTCGAAAGAGATGTTGTAATGAATGAATATGTTGCAATTAAATAGTGAAGTGAAATTTTTGATATGTCAATTTATTCAACTCAAAACAAATTCATGAAGTAGAAAGTCAGAAGTTGTTTATGTTTAAAAAATGAATGATAATATAAATTTTTTTATGGGAAAGAATAGTTATGGCTTCATATTTCGCTATCTTTACGAGGGGTACTATTTTTATTCAGTGAATCAAATAATAACAAACATTTTTTAATGAAAATGGCTTTGTTTTTCGAAAAATCCCCCTTGATGATCAATACACTTTTGCATTGCTTCAAACCATTTGTCAAAGCAGATTTTTCATTCTTTTCAAGACACCTAGAAAAAATAGTATTTCAACGCTTCAACTGCTTCTTTGGTCCTTGTTAATCTTTGACCACGTAGATTACCTTTGATATTCGAGAACAAGAAAAAGTCATTGGGTGCCAAATCAGGACTGTACGGAGGACGAGTCATCAATTCGATGTTTTGTCAGCTCAAAAATTCACCTGTTTGACGAGATGTATGAGAGCTCTCATCGTCATGGTGGAAAATGATTCGTCTTTGGCGGTTAGTTTTACGAATTGACCGTTCTACGTTGCTCAAGCGATACAGTGGCCACATGACCCATTCGGTCGGAGAAATAGGCGACCCTTTGCTTCGCTGTTCTTCTTCCACAAACAACTTTTGTTGGATTTAACTCGTCTTGGAATACATGGTCGATTGCTGCTCACGGGCATTAATCCATGATTCGTCACCTGTCGCGATTTTATAGACGTGTTTTGAAGCACCACAGTCGAACTTTTCAATAATTTCCTTACAACACTTGGGTATGGTGTAAGGAAATGATTGGTATGGGGTATCCAACGAGAACAATTTTGTTTTACAACTGAGTGTTCAAGCAAAATCGAATGTATTGAAGAGAAACTATGACCACGATTCAATTCTCTATACTAGCGATATACTGTGGTTTTTGATGGCGCTTTATGTCCATACAAAGAACTGAGTTCATCGACACATTCTTGTTGACATAATCCACGTGTAAGGTTGTGAAAAATAATCTAACGAGAACCTTCTCTTGAAATTTCCATTTTTTGGTCAAATTGATTTTCTTAACTCACTGTAAAGAAATCGTTGTGAGTACGTTTATGCTGAAAAGTGTCAAACTTTATTATCGTGTTGCCACATTTTACCTTTTGACATTAGTGTTGCCAGTTCCCAAAATACAAATAGTCCCCCATCGTATAAAAAAAAAATGCGGGAATCTTCCACAAAAAAAGAAGAAAACAATAAAAAAAATCAACTCTATACAAACGTCTGCAGATCACGCAAAGAAGTAAATTTCAGACACGAATAGGAAGTAAAGCCCTCTTGAAACAGCTACTTTCATATCAACATCGAATTAAACTTTTCATATAAGGTATCTCATACCATGTTGGGGCAATGTATTTAAATAATTAATTAACAAACTAGGAAGAGCGCAAAACAAATCAATAAAAACTCTGTATAACTTGAATCGACCAACTTCCACAAACACTGTTTATGAAATAACGAGATTTCTGAAAATAGAAAAAATCATTACACTTGAACAAGTTAAACTTATACATGGAATCCTGAATGAATACATCTTATGCAGTACCACCATGGAAACAGTAGGAGATACACATATTCACAATATAAGAAATGCTGTGAGACTGAACTAAATATACATGAGAACAAAGAAAAATCAGGATATACCCATCTATAGAGGAATCCAGCAATACAATAAACTTCACAAACATTACTTCTATGACTGAATTCAAAAAAGCTGTAAAAAAAAATTGTATTCGAACATGCAGCTAACTGTTCAGAAAGTAGGCTGATTGAGTATAATTTTACCATGTTGAAGCTATCAACTAATACTGAATTCAATTCTTTATTTATCCATTAGAGCAAATACAGCTATAGGACAAGTCAAAAAACATATAGACATACAACAAAGTACAGTGAGTGAAATGATAAAATAAAATAAATTATGTACATGCATAACAAGGATTGTAGACAAAATACAATTAACATAGGATAGTGAAATAATACATGTTTACAGGTTGTTCTTTAAAAAACTAATTCATAATAATCTTCTATGGAGTAGGGACATAGATCAATTAGTATCTCTTTCACTTCAATAAGAAATTTCCGATTTAAAAAGAATCTATATCTTTGTGGAAGTCGATTATAGAGTCTTAAGCCAAGTACAGTAGGTGAATTTAAGCTAATATTTAAGCGTCTGAAGGGAACGCAATATTTTTTCTTTCTCGAAATTCAATCTCTCCTAAAAATATACCCCTTTCAATTTGAACAATTTTATGTTTTGAATACATTTCATTCCAACATATTCATTGACAATAGAATTCATTTATTAAATCTGACAATTGATAGATCACCATACATCCTTATCAATATTGCTGAACATGAAATCAGTCACAGCATCAATATTGGCGATTTTCAAAGCAGCTCTATTCATAAAAAATACTGATTTGATAGTTTCAAACGGATTTGACCTCGCTCTTGCCTTTTTCAATTCGTTTTCATCCAATTCATCGTATATATCCTGAAAGAATACTGCATGTGACGAGAGATTTTCTTGAGGACTGTACTCACTTTGGCTTTTAAAACGTTCAGTAACACTTCCTTATCACAAAAATTATACTGGTTCTGGACGTCATGATCAGGTGGACCTTCCCTTATCCATGATAACATTTCTTCAAAGGTATGAGTTGACTCTTCAAGATTATGTAGCCATTCAACAGTTTCTTTTACATTTACATCCTGAAAGGTGAACATTTTACAAATATTCAATTATTTTGTTTATACTATTTATACTATTATTCAAGTTCAATTTTAGATATCACTGTTACATTGTCAAAGTTACTTATTTACAAGTATTAATAAATTAACATTTTTTACCATAATTGAATACTACCTATAATACTAAATAAAATATGGAAATAAATCACAAAGAAGTCGTGTTCCATTTGCTACCCTAACTAAAACTAATTATAGGTACAACACTGGCCGGCAAGGGGCGTATTGTAATCCAATAGTAATTTAGTTGGGAGAGTCTATACCTGCGCGATTGCTCGCTATCACGTTTAACGCTTGCTATATCTCAGAATAATTCACAAATTTCCTAATAAAGCTCGATCTATACACATTATACAAAGGAAAACAAAGTTATCTAGGTTTAAGATACCTGTGGTTTAATACATCTTTTGAATGACACTTAAAACCATACTGTATGCAAGCCTGATTCAATCCCTACTGTCTTCTTCTGAGATGCGATGATTTTCCTCATCATTGAACCAGCGGGATAAGGAGTTCGAAGTTGAACTGCTTGGAACTGAATTGGATAGATATATGGCAGAATTTTTGAGTTTGGGAGAAGATGAATAATCTGGAATTAGATGTTGCGTGATGTGAAGCTGCAACTGTTTACACAGGTAAAGTCCCAAAGCAGAGGTTTCCCAAATTTCCAAGGAATTAAACTCAACTCGTCTGTGCGTTTTGCATAATCTATAATCTATAATTTTTCAACACCAAAAGGTTCAAGAACTGAAGGAACCTCTGTAGTGGCTAAAGCTCTTTTTATAAGATGGAATGATGTCTTGAAAATCGGACAGAACTAATTTCACAACTCAGACCATGGTAACCATTTTCTTCTATAGTGGTTCCACTTCTGCACTTGTGAGTAACACAAATTCATGAACCCAACCAAAAACCCATTGAAATTCTAAAAGATGTATCATTTAAGAAAGTACCCAAAGAAGCCACAAGAAAAACATTGAGCCAGGCACCAGATGAAATAGGATCATATTAACCAATTCGATCACGTTTTCCTTAAGAACGAAATAAAATAAGAATGGAAAGATATCATATCTTTTTTAAAAAATTTACCAAAGGACTCAACAAATCTGAGCTAAACTTGCTTTTGTTCTTGAATCTCTATTTGGATTGCACACATTATAAATAAATAAATGAAATGCATGATGGAAGTATAAAGCTTACCATTTTTAAAAACGATCGATGAAAGTTCTTACCTCTTTTGAGAAATCCCAAGAAATTGTTGCCGATTTCATATTTTCCAAATGCAGTCCCAAACCTCTTTTTCCCGATTGATATTTGATGTCTATCGTGTCTGTGATTCCTTGTTCAAACTTTCCCAAGCCTGATCCTATTTTGTAACCCATTTTTTTCTATAAGAAATGTCTTGTTGAAAATATTATTCCAGTAATATGTCATGTTCTAGTTCTTTTATTATTATACAGTGTTACCAGTGGAGTCTCAATTTCTTTATTAATACCTTCCCTCGAAATTATACTTAAAGCATCAATTTCTGCTTCGACTGGGATGAAAAATAACAAAAAAATAGATTTTATTTTTTCCAAATCTATTTCAAAAGTGGAGTAACTTCCTTAAAATATGGAAGTTACTCCATAAATGCAACGTTTTGTCAATATGTAAATTTTCAGCTGCATAACATTATTTTGTTGCAAAATAGGACCCAAAATAATCTACATAAAACTTTTTAGTTTTGACAACGCTTCATTTTGAATAGCGCCATCTTCAATGTATTTTTCTAAAGTACACCAATTGTCATTACTGAAATTAAGTTCTATGTAGGTTGGGTTTTATTATACATCAGAGTTGCATTTAGAACTAATCAATTACAGATAGAACGACCTCAAACTTTGAATATTGAAAACATAACTATAAAATATTCTGTAGACACCAAATTTCTAGGACTTCATATTGATGAACTCTTGAAATGGAACAAACAGATTGATTATACAGCTAACAAATTGAGCAAAATTTCGTATGGACTAAGGGTGGTTCACAAATATCTCAACAATGAATCGGTAAAAATTTTATATTTTTCCAATTTTGAGTCTGTAGCTAGATATGGAATCATATTTTGGGGAAGCAATAGTAATATAAATAAAATATTTATAATTTTTGTTGACATCATTTCATTCTATGTTGTCTATGTACAAGCTGTAATAGTCGGCATATTTTTGAAATAAAGATTATTATTATTAGACAAACTTTTTCAGTAGCTATCGCGAATGACGAGTCTGCTATATTTAGGGTTATTTTTCATCTCCATTTAAGCAGAAATTGATGCCAGAATCACATTTCATATTATTAATAAAAAATATCATATGATCAAACTGTATATCAACGGCAATAAAATATTTTAATTATAATACGGAGGTGGGTATATTATTATTTAGGTGTCTGAAGACTGTATTCAGGAGAGATACATGAGTACAAAAAAATAAATATTTCAAAACATTCATCTATATCAACTATCTAAATCTACATATTAGGTTCTCGTGAATGCCTGCTAGAAAACACCTACTTCCCTGGTTAATACCACGCTGGGAATTGAATTATATCTGACAAACATTTATGCAGGATACCTCACCAAGGTTATTCTCACAGATGCCTCTCGTTCATCTAGCAGCAGGACCATGCTGAAATTATTCGCATAGAACACCTACAGTCCAGTTTCAAGGTATAACCTCTCATCAGTGCAGACAGTGCTTTCATGACCTGCCACCGGTCTTAGCTGTGGTGTGTGGCTGAACCACGAATGCATTAGTGGTCTCAAATGTCCTTAAAGGGCAAGCCTGAGTAAATGAAGGCATCTTTACTTTTTGAATGCTTTGTTTTTGGCTCCAGTTTCAACTAGTTGCCTAACAAGTATCTGCAGCAAATGACAGAGGACAAGTTTCATTAGATGGCCAACGTCAAAGGTTAGTTTTGCAGTGGACTGCCTTGGAGAGCAGTCATTGTCTTTGATCGAAATTAATTGTTTCTCTTCACTGCTGCCATACTACGAATGTATCATCAATGAAACGTCTCAAACAATATGGTTTCACTGCACTTTTCTAAGGCCCATTCTTCAAATTTTTCCATGAATGAACCCATTGCTTCATCCGTTTTTCAAAAGAACAATGAGCAGGTTCGTTAATTCAAAGACCAATGAGCAGTTTCATTTTATACTTTTGGCACTACACAACTTCAGAAATTCGTTTTTAATTTAGGATGCATATAGACATTTTGATCACAATGCGAAGAAGTTTCTTTCCTTTGTGGTGAAGTTCTTCAAGTATATTTTGTTACAGAAACTGTTTTCATTTGGATTTATAAAATTACAGCACTCTTACCATCATTTGCAAGGCTTTACTGTCGCAAATTTGTAAATTATCCATGCCCACCTCGCAATCTAAAACAAGCCATGATTAAAAGTACGTTCATACAAGTGAATTTACGCACCCTCAAGTTTTTTAGGGGTGTTTGAACACATTTTAAGTTTTATTATAAAATAATAGGTTTCATATCAATATACTACTTCCCAGTTGATCATACGTTATCAGCTGTTCCCTCTTTCAGAGTAATGGAAACAAACCTTTAGTGAATGATAAGAAAGATTAATTAGGAATGTTGAAAAACTTTATGAAAAAAAAAAATTAAAAAAAACAAATTCTTTGACATTGAATCCTAGATAAGGTTAGAAGTAATTTCAGGCGGTGTTGCCAATGGGTGACATTTTACTCATAGGGATGCTGACTTTAGTGTTATTAAGAAATGAAGACCTCAACGATAAATTGCTGATCCATTCAACTGAATGCGAAACATAAGTTATGTTTATTATTTTAGGGTTTTCTGTTTTTCGAGTGTTTTTTATCGTAAATTGTCTGAGAAACTGATGAAAAGGCAAAATAAATGACTTTCCCTAACTTTGCTTATGTTTTACAATCCGATTTGGTTCTAATGTTTCCGATAGACATCGCACTTTATCCCAACACCAGAACCGTGTAAACATATTTCCAATATTATTTCAAATACAGAAGATACTGCAAAAATATAATTTTGAAATTTTCATTTGTTCTCATATATCTCCGACACTAAAAGTGCTATAGTCAAAATAAGCAATTTTGCCACGATTTATCCTACTCTCTATCTTTTACAGTTTATGGTAAGAAATTGAGTATCCCCTATATACATATATATCTAAATTATATCAGCCATGAAAAATTAGTAAACTTTCTGCAATTGTATCCAACAAGCGACATTGATCATTCTTATTTGCATTTGCAAATAATTTCTCTTAACTTATTGTAATCAGCTTATTTTGCCATTTTTGAGAGAGAGTCTCCGAAAATATGATTTTTTAAAGATAAAGATAGCAATTCAAGGGAAGAAACTCCCATTCGGTTCAAAAGCAATCATTGGTGTACAAAAATTTCTTCACTTCACTGCAATAATAAACTTGTTTACCTATTATAATATTTAGAAAAGATCTTCTAACTAATCCTCATACATTTTTCTTGTTGATTTCAGTAATCAAAATACTACACAAAATACACGAATATATTTTTTTTGGTTATTTTTCAATGATATCAATGTCAAAAATACTGTCATTTTTATTTCAAATAACTTTTGAATTGTTTATTTATTATGAACTAGTATGATGAAATTATCAAAATTTGATGAAGAATTGCAGAGTCTACAACTTGACAGACCAGTAGCTGGAAAGGTAAGGTATATAATCATTTGATAAACTGGTAAAAAAGTAGTTTCTTTTTTCTAGACTGCATTTCAGCTTCAAAGGCATACGGTTGATGAACAATACGATAACAAACCTATAGAAAGAAGTCTCTTCATTTTGACGTGAGTTACTCGACGTACCTACCAGTTTTTTCCTATAAAAACAATGTGAAATATTTGTGTTGATTAACACAGAGTTATTCACAATTATCCCCAAAAGTAACAAGACAGTTCTAGAAACACAGGGTATGATCCACTTGAGTTATATTCAATTATGTTTCCTATCTTCTTGAAACTTTTGTGTCAAATTTTCTGAGGGCAGAAAAATACCTAATTTTTGACAAAGCCTTGGAGATAATTTTGTATGAATCAGATATTCAAAAAGCATTTTTTTTTTCAATTGCCCCATTATCTAGGCTTCTGGGAGTTTTTTCAATGTTTATGTGGGCTATTCTAAAGATACTAGAATAAATATGTTTGTATGGTATTTCAGGTCAATACTTTTCTTACCGACTTCAGGTAACAAAAAATGTACTCGATTTTTATACCACTTATATTTGTAACTAACGTTTTCAGACGAATACAATTAGGGTTCATTGTATTCGTTTGAAAATGTTCTTATAGAACGAAACTGCAGCAACGTTAGTTAAAAATACGAGTGGTAAAAACATAGTTTTATTTCCCATTTTTCATAATAACAATTTATTTTCTCAAGAACATACATGTTTATATTAGGAAAGAAATTGAAATAAGTTCCATTATGATGGTGATGAATTCAAATTCAATGTCGTATTGTGAATACAGATTTAAAAAAAATTATTAAATGATTACTGAGAATGCAACAAAAAGTGATTGCCAACATTTGGTTCTTGAGACTGAACCTGCTATGTCGGAAGTTTGCCACGTAGTTATTCACCGTTAACTGATGTCGATTTAAATTCATCAATCCTCAGTTATAAATTATTATGATATAAAAACGATGAAGCTCTGGTCGGGATTTAGTTAGGAGCACGGTTGGTGATGTCATGAGTTAACACTAGTTTAAAATAATGGCAGAGTGATGTAAAGGAATAACCATCCTCTCGAGGTGTATAAACATTAACCTTTCTCCCATATTTTCGGCACTATTACTGTTTCTGTTTAAATCTGTTAACCAGCTGGTCTTACCTTTTAACGTGCCATTCCTAGCACGGATGGGACTATTTCACCTAGCCGCCGATTGAATTAGTGAAACAAACCACACACGCCTATCCAATCGGTTTCCGTTTTTCTCGTACTACTACTTAACAAACTGCATGGCATGGCATGGAACAGTTTTATTAACAAACGAACAAATTATTAGAGAGAAATACAGGGTTTTGAAAATAAGGTTTTCACAAAAATGTAAACAAATACTCAAATACCGTAATTGCTCATGGATAGAAGTTCGACTTTGAGTTATGTTCTCAAAAAATGGACACATTATGACGGATTTAAAAGACTCGGTCGATTCAGCAGCACTGTGGCAAGATCTTTACATGTACAATCCTCAAACCTAGAATTGATATTGTCATAATTTAATTTTCTTCAGGAAAGGAGACGATTTACAGAAATTGAGTGTTATTCAGGCTTTACCGGACCTCCTTCAAACAGATAACAATGCCACCATATCTAGAATCATCCCAAAAATCCAACAAGAATTGCCAAACTCCTCTTCCGAATTTCATCTTGTTACAAGTAAAATTTTCAAGCTCCTAATCGAAATGAAACTCAACCTGAATCTGATGCGTCCTGTTCTACAAGGAATTGAAAGCAAAGACCCGATTGTATCCAATGCTTGGATTGAGACACTACTTGCAGTTATTCATTGTCTAGCGGAACCCCCTTTGAAAAATGACGTGAGGAACTCGGCTCTCTTATAAATATCATGTTGTTTTCAAATTTCTGTTTCAGGTCTTGCCTTTTGCTACCAAAATGTCTCAATTGAATAGAGCTGTTTTCTTTAGAGTAAACAGTTGCAAAATACTCGGACAAGTTGCTATCCATCCAAAATTTTCTTCATATGAGTGAGTGACCTGAAGTTCATTCTATAAATAAGTGGGTAAACTGAGGATACTTGACTCAGAATTGTTCACGATTTTAGTATTTTTTCATATTTTGTTTAATTTCTTGAATATTACTATTAGATTTCTCGCTTTATTATTAATCATAGATAGTTATAAAAACTGAGAATGGCTGTCATATAACCACTATATTCTGTTAATTTATATTTGTCGCCATATTAATACTGCAAAAGAAGGTCTTGTGGTATAATTTTTTAAGTCATTCAATTTTCTATCCAACGTCGGTTTATTTTGGGTATCAGATTTATGATTTTAATTTTTTTAGCAGTTTTAGTTCATTTGCAAGTAATCTCAGGTAAATGATAAATATCGCTATTGAATCGGTCATTTGAGAAACCCCACTTGCCTGCAAAGTATAATTCATTTCCTGATAATAAAGATCTTGATTGAAAGATATACCTGTCTCTATGTGGTCCTGTTTCTAAAAAATTTGATAAATTTAGGGTAATTCAACTCTCTCCAATATGACAAAATGGTTTAGTGTCATTATTTTTCGAGTTTGAAAGCCATGGATTTTTGGAATTTCTTTCTCGCGCCAGCGAAATGTCAGGAAGAAATTACAAAAATCCAGGGCTTTCAAAACTCGAAAAATAATCACACTATCTCCAATATCTTTTTTTTGTGGGGGCTTTATTATTATCCAGTATAAGTTCCTGCTAATACGTATTTTTATGTTTAATTTTACCATTATATTATATGAGTAATAATTATTGTATCTATAGAGTGAAGAAAGATATTCTTCCATTGGTACAAAGCTTGTGTCAAGATTGCCTTCATGAAGTAAGATCAGCAATGTGTACAGAGCTTCCTAATATTGCCAAAGGACTTGCTAGTGACACAGTTGTGAAAAGTAGCCTGTTACCATGTTTGGTTGAATTATCTAGCGATGAGAATATGCATGTTAGGGCAGCAGCTGTAGATGCGGTGGCACTTCTCATACCGTACATGAATTCAGGTGATAGCATAGCAAATAATTATTGATTAATTCTTTCATGAAACAAAAATCATATTGAATTTTCCATAAACAGTTATATTGTCTTGAATATTCTTCATAAAGACGGTAAAGAGGTGGGAATGTAACATTTTTGTGCTTAATGGATTCAAAAAGACGTGCTAGGTTTATCTCAGTAGCGTTGATCCATTTGATTGCAATGGGGAATGTTCCTCCTGACGAAAAAGTAGTTTTCATAAAAGAGCTCTAAAAAAACGCATTTTAAACTTATCATTTCAACCTTTTTCTATAAAAAATTATTTAAATACTCAAAAAGAGGAATGAAATAATGCATTTAACATTTAAAGGGATTCGTTTCTATTTTACTATTTGGCAACATCGGTTATAGCTAATAAAGGACAATGAATCTGTTACCTGTATGACACAAACAAAGATGACATATTTCAGAGGCGTGCTGTTCTGTTTACTTATGTTCCGAGTTCCGAGACATTCTGTGACATATGGCATTTTGTGCACCTAACCTATCTTCCGCTATATAAATAAATAACAAAACAACTGTTGTTTATGTGGCTTGTGGAGGTGGTATTGAACTATAATTTATATTTTGTCTCAATTGTTGATTTATAAAGATAATTTTCCTTTTTTAAAGTGGAATATCTAGGTACATATAAATTATTTCAACTTGATATAGGCGCTGTTGCCAATATGTGAATTAGAAACAAATCCCTTTAAAAATTAAAACCCAACATTTGAATCATCAATTTGAATACTTTTCGAAGTGAATTTGAAAAACTCATGAATTAAACTCAACTTTATTTTGTTCAAACTTGCATTTGCTGTAATAACCCAAATTGGGGAACATTTCCTGGCAGCAACTAACTGCCTTGGGGAGCCTTTTTCCTTTTTTGGATATTTGAAGATTGAGTTCACTGTAGATCCAATAGATGGATCTACAGATGGCGTAAGGTGGCCCTTACGCCATCTACTTACGTAAGGTGCTACCTACCACCACTGATGAGACCTATGCAGGGTTGAAACAGTGTAGTCTGGTTTTGAATGATGAATGCGTTGTGTTTGGGCTCTGATTTCAAGCTAGTGCCCTGCAAAGAAAGCTACGGTGAAATACAGCGGACAAATCTCGTCGGCGGTCAATGTAGACGTTTGGCTTCGCAAGTGACCGCCTTGGGGAACCTCGGTTATCTTTGACATTCGATCCCGCAGGTGGCGTCTTTGTAAGGGATGATGTCATTGTTCTTGAGTGAATATTGATGTTCGATAATGACTAATTACCATATGTGGGCCGGATGTTAATTTTTAAAAAGAAGAGACAATTTGGAAAATTGATAATGGATGACCCCAACCTTGTTTTGTTCCCGGAAAATCTCCTTGGACTCTGGTTGTTTCAATTGCTATTCTTTGAGCGTAGGGAGCGATCTTGTCCAAGAAATATTGAAGGATGCATTTTAGGGGGTTTTTTATGCTTCACCTGAAAAATATCTAGCGGTTCATATAACAATAAAAACACTTGTGAGTTGCACAAAATAATCTCTGCCGACTTGAAAAAAATTAAAGATTGGTGTGATTCAAACATGTTATCTTTTAACTTAACTAAAACAGATTTAATATCATTTAGAAGCTCAATCAACGAACTTTTTTTTTAAAGACAGATCACTGGAATCTAAAAATAACATTAAACTTCTAGGAGTGTTCATTGACCAGAATTTAAAATTTGTGGATCATGTTAAACAACTCTCCAGTAAAGTCTCCTCTAGCTGTTATGCGGTTAGAGTGATTTATAAAGAATTGGGGTTCAGTACTGCAAAGATGGCGTACTTTGCACTCATAGGATTCTCACTTACGCTACGGAATACCGTTTTGGGGAGCATGTAGTCCAACTTTATTCAAAAGTCTACTAATTTTACAGAAAAGGGCAATAAGGTATATAAGAAACCTTAAACCAAGAGACTCCTGTAGAAATTTCTTCAAAAAACATAATTTTCTAACGGTAACTGCATTATTTATACTTTAATAAACAAGCATATATTTAATTTTGCTGCATCCTCTTCCCTGCACACTCTGCCAACTAAAAACATCATCAGAGACTCCATATTCTACAAAGGTGGAAAAATGTACAATCATTTGCCTATGGACATAAGATCTGCCAATATAAATGACTTTTAATTCAGGAAGTTAGTCAAACAATTTCTATCTGGTAGACCCTATTATACTTTGGATGAATATTTTAACGATAGCTTTTGACTGACTTACTCATATTTTTTATCTTTAATAATTAAGGAGCGCCTAAGTTGTTTCTTCTTATGTCTACTCTTTTATAAACTTGACTTTTACTATTTTATATATACATATCTTTTATATCCTCCATTTTAACATAATTTGTATCCATGTATCTTTTTTATTTTTATTTTCATTTAGTATGTATTGCATTTTTTTAAGTATTTACTACCCAAGCATATTATTATTATTATTATTTCTCGCCGTTATCATTCATGACTGCCTCCGACCTCCGCGCGTGCTTATAAGACCGGTGTTACCAATTATGACACAATAACAATAATAATAAACAAATCCTGAACCCACATATAATAATAGGTGAATACCGGGCAATTCAATTCCAAGTAATTTAGCGCTACTGAGATAAACATAGTTTCTGTGTGTGAATTAATCCAATTGTGAAATTTTTTTGACAAGAACTTCATCAGATTTTCATTTCCAGATACAATACGGACAACTGCTATCCCCTTAGTCAAACAGCTGTGTATACAATGTAACAGGGAAGGCGATCAAACGTACCCATCTGTAGCAAAAATATATGGCAATCTTCTTACGAATCTCGGAAACAATTTGTCGCAAACAGAGTCTCTTTGGTTTCTAGATAATTTTAGAAATTTGTCTATGAGAGGATTAAGTTTAACTAACGTAGACTTAGATACTGATCCAAGTCTGGTAAGCAAACTTCAAATTCACAGTTTTGTTTTTTATATTAATGTAGCTTCAACGACTGTTAATGTATATTTTGAATAAATTGGTGGATGTAGCCGTTACTACGTGGTAGGAAATCATAATGAATAAAAGGGAATTGAAACTTTCTTTGGTTTTTACCACTTTTTTTAATAACTAACGTTACTGCAGTTTCGTTCTATAAGGACATTTTCAAACTTATACATTATTGTATAAGGACACTTTCAAACTTGTACATTAATGTATAAGTTTGAAAATGGCCTTATATATACATTAATGTATAAGTTTGGATGTCATTTTCAAACGTATACATTAATGTATAAGTTTGACAATGTCCTTATATATACATTAATGTATAAATTTGAAAATGTCCTTATAGGAAGAAACTGCAGTAACGTTATAAAAGTGGTATAGAAAGTTTTATTTCCCTTTTCTTCAGTACATTTTACCTTTTCTTTCCTTTACTAACTCTGTGGGGTAATCCTTAATTGATTTCTACTTGTTTTTTTAGGCAGTTACTTGTAGAAATTATTGTGCTTACAACTTACCAGCGGTTACTTTTTTCACAATGAATCATTTACAAACAGAACTTGGCAAATGGTATATGATATTCAAAGATTTAGCTGGTGATCCCTGCTATATTGTCAGAAAAACTGTTGCTGGATGTATTCATGAGATAACTAGAATATTGGGTAAGTGAAATTTCAGGAAAACATAGGATATACAGAAATATTGAATATTAATATGTAAATGATATGATATGATATGATGATAATATGTTATGTAGGTTACTCAAAATGTTTCATGTGAAATACTCATTCAATTTAATTGATACACAAAAATACAAAAAATAAGAATAAAACACTAACGAAGAGACATATAAAGACAATAATTGCAGTACATAAAGTAAAGATTGTGTATAAAATACCATCTAAGTGACTTAACATTTGTGTTATGCTACAAAGTAATAGTAATTTATATAAAATTACGTTGTGTACAGAGAATAAGGAAACAATTTAGTGGCAGTGTATCTATTGGTGTTCTAATATTTTGATAAATTCAGAGTAATTTTCGAAGATACCTTTTGTTTTTAATTTTTTAAAGAAAGTTTTATAATTTTTAATGTTTTATCCTTAAGGGTAGAATATTACAAATTTTAGGTAGTTTGTGAGTTAAAAAGCGATGACATCTAAATTATATATTTACTAAATTGGATACAATGTAGGAAAGTGGATCCAAGCTATAAAAAACATTCCATGAACAATATGTGAAACTTTACGTTCAGTAAATATAATATTTCATAAAACAAATTTAGATATGAAATTGTTTTTGTTTTGTAATAATAGTAATAATGATTTTCGTTAATCGCAAGAAACAAGTATTTTTATATCAGGGATAAAATTTTTAAAATACTAATCAAATAAATTATTTGAATAGTAATCCATCAGTTGTATTTCCTAAAATACGGCTAACCAATACCGTTGGTTAGCCGTATTTTAGGAAATAATAGAATTCAAAAAAATTGAATATGCTTTATCGAATGAAAATAATAGCGTTTTCCCGACACTTATGGTTATGCCGGAAGTTGCTAGTAACTTCCTTAATTCAAATGTAACACCTTGTATACCAACTTCCAATGTAACCGAAAGTGTTAAAAAGACACCATTATTTCCATTCGATAAAGCATATTGAAAAACCTGTATTTGCCAATTTTCACAATATGAATCCTATTATTTCCCAAAATACGGCTAACCGGTGGTCATAGCGCTTTAGCCCAAACAAACCCCCCCATGCCCCCTCCCGGGTTGAGTGCCCTGAAGTAGAAGCTTCCCCCCCAGCTATTTAGCGAGGAGAACCTACTACCCCACTCCATCCACCCTCGCTCTCCGAGCGGTCCTCAACTTGCTGATGGGCACTTCAGCAAGATTGACATCTGACCTCTTTTGGTCGAAAGTCAGCCTTTAGGTGCTTTTACTTTCTTATCGAATCTTTGTTTTATCTGACTACTCCTAACTGAATTTAAGCATGGGGGCCCCCAAAAACTAACCGGTGGCTGTGTGTTATGCATCGAGCGTTTCTCAGTGCATCCAAGGAAAATTTTTAGAGTCGCGATTGCGGTCGAAGTGTTCTTCGCTGAACCTACGTGGAAGTGAGTGTATCTGATTAGTGTTATACTTACCTGAGCCGCCTGACGGCGACGGTCTGTTATTCTGTTTGGTCGGCCTGGGATTTTTGTCCCTTTCTCGGAATCTGGGGTCATCTATATTTAACGCATCGTATAGATCGCGGAACGCTGGATTTGAGTGCGATCTGATTCTATCGAACGTGCTTTCTGCATGTTCTCTCATATACACGTCCACATATTGCGTGTCCAGGTCTACATCTCTGTATATGAATCTGTTTGGTATATAGTAAGGTGCATTTACGGCGGCCCTTACGCTCGTATTCATAAATGCTTGGATCTTCTTTCTGTATGTCTGCCCCAGGCATACAGTATTATTAGAATCGTTCTGATCATCAGTAGCTTGACTTTCAGTGCCATGTTGCTACTTCTTCCTAAGATCGGCGCCAGGCGTCTTCTGGCCTGTTTGGCCATTCCTATTCTCGGCTGTACGTGGTCCTGGAATGTTAGTTTCTTGTCTAGGATGACCCCGAGATATGTCGCTTTGTTTGTCCACGGAATCTCTTGTCCGTTGAAGATGACGTTGCCTTCCGGTTGTACGAACCTGCGGGTGAACAGTATCGCCTGACTCTTGTCAGGGTTGATACTGATCTTCCACAGGTTAGCCCACTCCTCTAATCTGTCTGCCTGCTGTTGTAGGTATCTCGTAACGAGTGCTTGACTCCTAGATCTCGCCAGCAGGGCCGTGTCGTCCGCGTAGAGTGCCAACTTGTTAAAGTTGTTCTCTGGCTTGGGCACGTCTGCCGTATATACGGAGTAGTGGTGTGGCGAAAGGACTGCACCTTGCGGGACTCCTGTCTCCAGCAGTCGAACTGTTAATAATTCGTCTCCTACTTTGCTGCGGCATCGCCTGTCAGCTAGAAAAGATTGAAATAATCTTACCATTGGTTTTGAGTATCCAAAATCGCTCATCTTGGCCAGTAGCCCGTCATGCCAAACTCTGTCAAACGCCTTGGAGACGTCTAAGAAGATAGCTCCGGTATTGTATCCTTTGCCAAGGTTGAAGCCTTCTGTCGCAAAGTCCACTACCGTCAGGACTTGTAGCTCTGTTGAGTGTTCTGATCTAAAACCGAATTGTTCGTCGGGGAGGATCCCTAACTCTCTAGTTTGTTCTTCCAGTCTCTTCAGGATGACACGCTCCGCCACTTTGCTTACGGATGGCAGTAAGCTAATTGACCGGTGGTTCGCTGGAAACAGGTGGTTCTTCTTGGGCTTCGGTATGTGAATTACCGTTGCCTCTTTGAACGGGTACGGGAAGTGTTGCAATCTGAGTATAGCATTTATGATGTTGGTTATGGCTGCTATACCCTTTCGCGGCAGCACTTTCAGTGCTCAATTTGTTATATTGTCTGGGCCTGGTGCTTTCCGAGTGGCAAGACGTCTCAGTATGTCCTTCACTTCCTCAGGCGATGTCGGGGCCAGGGGTTGCGCGTTATTTGTCCGTTGTCTAAGCCTCCGTACCGTTCTTTTCACCTGTCTCTCTATTTCGTCTACCTCGTCTGTGAACGGGACGTCATTCTCTCTGCACTGCCTTTCGAAGTTGTTCGCGAATGCTTCCGCCTTCTCCTGGTCAGTGTAGACAACTCCTTGCTCGCCGTGTATCGGTGGGCAGGGTCGTCGACTGCCCAAACAAACAGAATTAATTCCAATTAGTTATAAGCTCTATCTGCAGTTGATTCAGTAGGGTGTCCACTGCGCCACCTGAAGACAAAGCCAGGAAACAACTCCACAAACCTCAGGGGTGGAAGCTAGAATAATAAACATATTCCGGAAAGGTGCATATGACATGCTCAAGTTCAGGTGAAAAACACCTTACCACTTGCCTCTCATGTGGAACTACGACTTGGTAGGTACGTGCAGATTCCGGACGGATTTGAAATGCCTGGTACTGACGAGAGGCAAGTACTCGGAAACTGGTCTGTCAGTGGTCGTCCCGACCAAATGAAATTAATACTTGTATTTTTGAATCCATGTTTTACTTAGTTTTTTTTTAATTTTTATTATTATTTTTCCAATTCATTACTCCTTACTATCCAAAATAGAGAGAGAGAGAGAGATTTATTAATCTGGCATCGACTACTGAGGTCATTAGCCATGTTTCACTTATTGTTATCGTTTCAGACAAAGAAAGCAAATTGATAGTTATAGACATCGTAAAACTCCTTCGTGACGATGCTGAGGAGGTACTTGATGTTCTGGTACCAAACATTGGTAATACTCTCGAACTATTGGCTTCGACTGGAATTCTCTCAAGGGAACAAACTTCTCAGACTACTTTAGAAATAGGTCGCGCCCTTTTGAAATGTCAAGTGGAGATATTTAGATATTATAACTGGCGAAGGAAAATGGAGTTCCTGAAACAACTAGAACAATTGCCGATTTGTGTTAGTGCCGATTTCATTCATCAGCATTTCGCACCGTTGGTTCTAAAATTAACTGTGGAAGCGGTGAGTCGATACAAGAAAATTATTTTATATGTGTACATTTGTAGAACTGTAGAAGCACACTTTTCAGTTATATAGGTGAATAAAATGATTTTAGATATAAGGAAAAAAATAATTTTGAGAAATTTGCTTCAATTATAACACATTTTATAATAATAATAATCTCTTTATTTACTCAGATTGATTTGTATAACCACAGGAGCAGAAGTACAAATGTATATATAACATACACAGATGTTTGCCACATAAATATAATATTAAATAATTCTTTCCTATGCACACATATAGTATTGGATTACAGATAAAAGTCATCAATACTGTAGCAGTTCTTTAACAGAAGAAGTTGCTTCAGTCTTGATTTAGAGATGTGTACATTTTCAGAATTTCTCATATTGTCGGGGAGTTTATTGAAAAGTTTGCAGCCCTGAAACTCAAAACTTCTTTGGAAAAGAGCAGTTCGATGTTGACTAGGTAATAAGAAGTGGGCATTCCGGGGTAGAGGGTAGAGTGTGTGACAGGCTCTGTTAGCAACTAATGTGTTTCTATTTCGATAGATATATGTGCAGGCTCCCAATATACAGTGCTAGTCAAAAGTCCCCTCCCCCCCTCGTATCTTTTGAACGGGTATACTTCTAATAATGAACTTTGGAGGGTGGAAATAAACGGATGTAGGCTTCTTAACTGGTCATAACAGGTGACGCAATAGTCATAAATGACGTCACAAGGCCACTGTGACCAAAAATTTTAAATGGGACCNTGGTCACAGTGGCCTTGTGACGTCATTTATGACTATTGCGTCACCTGTTATGACCAGTTAAGAAGCCTACATCCGTTTATTTCCACCCTCCAAATTTCATTATTAGAAGAAAACCCGTTCAAAAGATACGAGGGGGGGAGGGGACTTTTGACTAGCACTGTATATACTCCTGCTAGCGTTAATATTTTCAAATTCTGAAAAGTTTCTCTACAAGAATCTCTATAGCTCAACTTAGCAACGATCCTAATATCATACTTTTGTATACAAAACACACGAGACATGGTAGAGGATGTGTCCCAGTTAAGGATGCCATATCTAAGGTGCGAATTGAAGTTAGCATAATAGACAGTTAATAAAATATTTGACCACAATGGTGAGAGAGAAACCTTAGAGAATAACAGGCTTTTCTAAGTTTATTACATAAGTTGTTAATATGTGACCTCCATTGAAATTTGTCATCAAAAACAACACCCAACATTTTTGTTGACTTGGTTATGTTCAATTCTAAATTACTATCAACAAACAGATTCAACCCATATTGTTGACCAGTATTCATCTTGAAATTTAACAAGTTAGTTTTGGCTTCATTCAACATTAAATTGTTTTTCTTTGACCACATAACCACATACCTTTTTTGTAGGTCTCAAGAGCTGTGTTTTTCGCGGAGTCCATATGGTTTTCAATAATTAATATATTAGTATCACACAAAAACTCAGGTATCGGTTTTCTCCAAAAAAATTAATGTGTCTTAATCAGATATAATCATGCCAGGACAGACAATTCCTCTTTCTGCTTTCGATGAGTTTGTTGGGGGTTAAAATGTACACCTATATATCCGTTCCGTACTAGAAAACTGTACACAGCTCAGCAACTTTCGATACTTTATAAAGCTCAGATCAGACTTTCTTTGGAGTAGTGTCCTCATGTATGGAGCTGAACATTACCTGAAACTGCTGTATTCCATACAAAAAAGAGCCATACACCTGATTGGATACGCGAACGTCACTTGTAGCTTTGATAGTCTGGAACATCGAAGACAGGTTGGAGATTTGTCTCTCTTCTATAGATACTTTCACGGGAAATGTTGAAGCGACTTGACACATTGGTTTCCATTAAGAGGGGTACATATCAGAAATACGCGATGTCTTATGATTTTTGGTCTAAGAACTTACTTGTCCTTCTCTCGATCTCCAATTTTTTTGACATTTCACGTATAGTAATTAGATTCCCTTCGATCCTATACCGAATGAACTCAATTTTCACATTGCATTTTCAAATACAAAATTCAAATAATATAAGCTTTCACGGCCGGTGATAACTGTGTGAAAGCCACAGAGTGTACAGGAAACCAACACACAGAGAAAGGAACCTAAACTAAAACTCTAACGACTAGCCGCAATAAAAGTATGGGGTGATTGAAACGTTGGTTGGGAGAGACGGACGTATCTGCGAACCTGAGAGTCGTTCTGAGGAATTCAATCACCTAAAAATGCCTTTAAAGGGATTAGGTACAGAACCATGAAAAGAAGTGTAGGCACCCGTCTCAAGATAAACTGTCGACTCGGGAAAACCGATAAATCACATTATCTCATCCAAAGAAACAGTAATACTTGTTTAAACTCAAAATTACTATCCAAGAGTATATAAGAAGGCAACAGAAATTCAAAAACTCGGGGACAATTTCAATAGGAAAGAAGAGGCAATGAACATTTGAAAAATCTGGCTACCTGTCCTTAAGAGAAACCAAGCCACGCCCACTAATAATATAAAATACGAGCTAAATACCAGCATTGTTACCTCATCATCTTAGATAATGTCTATCGCAGTAGTGGACAAAACATCAAAACCTGCAGACCATTGTCAAAAAACCTGGAAAATTGCTTTCACACAAAATCCAAATATTTATTTTCAAAGCAATTTTTCTTACGAACATTCCAAATTCCTGGATGCGGTCGAACTTCGCATTTAGGCGGAAGAATAGTCTCGAACTAGGGTTACCCAGTGGACGAGGCATAATTTATCGTCAGGTGTTTGAATCGTTCATCCGTTTTCGTGCGAATTCGGCCGAACTCGACATCGTTTGTTTTCGCAGTTTTCCGATTTCGGGGGACAATAGGCCTGAAGGGTTATTGATAAAATGAACTTGTGATGAATCGTTCGGAAATTAAAAGTTGTGGACACGGATAAGAAAAAATTGGATTTTGACATATTATGTTCAGTTTTTACGAATTGAATAAGACTTTCAGGTAAATTTTCATTTACAAGAGTTAACCTTTTCAGAGATCTAAACCTGTGAGAACGCAAGCAGCTCGAACAATGCTGATATTTTTACGATACAGCGCTAAGGAGAATCACAGGAAATGGATTAGAGAAAACCTCCTGAATATTTTGTGCAACTCTACTTCGTGTTATACGAGGCATATTTTTATCAATATGTGCGTCCACGCTATGGAGATATTCAGCTGGAAATATTTTAAGGAGTATTTTTATTTGCCTCTCTTAGGGCTTGGAGGTAATGATAGTATTCATTTGTAGAAATTCAAATATAACTATTAGCATATGTCATTTATCTGAAAAATAACGTGGTTGTTTCAAATGTTTTGTCCGTTTTAATGTGTTTTATAGATCCATGTTTCAATAAATATTCATTCAACTGTGGTGTGGTATATATTGATCGATAGAGAATTTTGTACTCTTTGCATAGATGCTTTTTATTTTTCTCCAAATTTTAGTTTTTTGCCTCTTTTCAACTTAATACTATATGAAGTCTTTTAGCAATTTTCGGGCTCGAAAAAACTGCAAAAGTTTTAAACAATTCAGTTTAAAAAAGGTGGGGTTTGGTTTTTTGCAAATATCTCGGAAAATATTAAAGATATCCGAAATTTGAAAAAAGATCCTCAAAGAAGAGGATAACACGAACAGCCTTGGCGACTCCATATAATTCTTAGCATCCAATTTTTATGTTGACAGAATTAATCGACTTGTGTTACGTTGACAAAAGACCACTGATTCAAGTGGCGTTTATTTCAATTAAATTTACTAAGTATTCATCATTGTTGTGGAATTGGCCGCGGTGGTAGTGCGCCCGACTCACGATCGGAAGGCCGTGGGTTCGATTCCTGCCTCGACCAGATATTTTTCTCCAGAGAATTTATCTGGTTGAAGCTGGGATGATTTTGCAACCGTGTTAGGAGTCACACGTTAAAAGGTAAAACCTCGTTAGTCCTTAGCTCGCACAAGTTTCTCAACTTTTGAGAGTTGTCGTTCTTATGGGGGCGACAGCTGATTAACGGAAAACAGATTTTTTAGTTTTTATTTTAGATATATTAGTTTAAAGTAGACTCATAAAAGCTGACAAATATTTTGAAACAACCTAATAATAATTTCAATTAATGAATAATATTACTATTTATAGTTTAAACATTTTTTTTGTGCAGGACTCAAAATTTCATACTGTTTCTTTGGGTTTATAACCTTCCACAATCTGAAAAAAATAAAAGCTAAATCAGAAGAGAATCTTCCAGTCATTTAATTTCTTTATATTGTGGAAGGCTATAAAGCCAAAAAAAGAGTATAAAATACTTATAGTTATGGTTACTTCGGAGAGTGATTATTGAAAATGTTATTTGAAGTGAACTGTCTGCCATTTTTTCAATATATTATTAAAATTGTTGGAATAAACAACAAACAGCCTTACAAATGTCAGTATTTTCATTTCTTTTTAATTTTTAGATGACCCAGTGTCAACAGTTCGTCTGTGTGTGGTAAACCTTTGTCCGATGCTCAAACAAATGCTCGTCTTACCAATAGATCGTAATCTTCAATTGAAACTAGAGAACTTTATGTCAAAAATTGAGATGATGGAGAAAGATAAAGATGTGTTATCTTCTTTGAAGACGAAATTGAAAGAGATGCGAACACCTCAGATTAATAAACAAGAAACTTTGATGGAGGAAAAAAGAAAGGTTGAAGAAGAAGATAAGATATTGCAGGGAAAATTATCTCTTCATACAGCTATTGGAACACATACAGGTATTTTTTTGTTAGTCACAGTCACAGAAAGACATCGTCACTAATCCTATAATGAAAAATATTCGTTCGGTGAATACACATCAATTCATTTGAAAACATTTTCAAATCATGCTTAAACTTTATCGGCGTCTAATTTATTTCACTTCATTGAGGAAGCTACTAGGTTGTTTGGAAAGTATTGTCTGTTTTAATGTCATGTGTTTTTGTAGCTCCATATCTCAATAAATATTTATTATGTGTCGTAGTGTATACTGATCGATAGAGAATTTTGTACTTTCTACATTGTAGCTATAGTAATCCAGGACGAGGATTTGAGGATTCTGGTGGAGACTGACCCAGATACCCAGAGACTACTCAGATACCTTACACATACCTCAAGGAGTTCCGCAAGGCTCGATCCTGGGACCATTTCTCTATGTAGTTTATGGAAATGACCTCATAAGATATCTCAATATGACTAACAACTTTAATATACATATGGTGTGTTATGCCGATGATACTAATGTATTAGTAGCCCAGAAGATCTGAATTGGAGCCGAAATTACTCTGGAACATGTGCTGAAGTCGTCGAAAAACAATAATCTGAATTTGAATACATCAAAGACTAATGCCATGTTAATTACTCTGCGTGGGCACAATCTAAACTGCAGGCTTTTTGATGTTACCTCCAGTGAAATGGAAATGTCAATATCGGTTAAAACGCTGGGTATAACTTTTGATGCAAACTCAATCTGGACCCCACATATTGACAATCTATGCACAAAACTGAGAAAATCTTGCTACTCTTTGAGATTGATGGCAAATCATTGTAGTGAAGAGATGCTGTTGATCCTGTATCATGCTAATTTCCACTACCACCTGAAATATGGCATTTTAAACTGGGGAAATTGCTCCTCTGTAAATAGAGTGACTTTGACTCCTATTTGACATCTTCAAGCCAATAAACATCAACATCACATACAAGCCAAATACGAAGATAACACAAAAAATAAACAACTATGAAAAAGAAGAAGACAAAGACCAAAACTGGATATACAGTATACAATGCTTGGACTGCAACAAATTCTATATCGGCCAAACCAAGAAAAAACTGATCCAAAGGTACGATGAACACAAAAAGGCACACATAAACCCAATAGTATATAAATCAAACCTCGCAACACACGCTATACAAAACAAACACAACTTTCCCCCACCAGAGAACATAAAACTCATAAAACAAGTCAACAAGGGAAACCGCATGGACATTTGGGAAAACTCAAACATCCATAAATTTAACAGTCAAAAATCACTTATCGAGGAACAAGTACAAATCAAAACACAACAAGACCTAACATTCAATATATTAAACAAATCAACATACACGCCTAGAAACAATAAACCTAGAGAAGATTTAACACAAAGAATAGTACCTGATGTAATCCAAATACAGGCAAATTTACCTAAAGCAACAGAAGTACCTGTATTGAGGCGTTTGGACCGTATAAAAAGACACACAACAGGATCACACGTTCAGATAGAATAGTTTCTAGAGGATGACAGCACGACCAGCTGTCGAAAGCCTCGCAGATAATAAAATAGAAGTCATAGAGCTTCAAATCCTTTTTGTAACTTACATTAATAGCAAAATACTGAAAATAAAGGAAAAATTAGTTGCATCATCCAAAAAAAAATATGTATGTATATATGTGTTTGTAGTTCTGTATTTATGTGCTGTATATTTACTGATATTTAATATTGAAATAATTTATTCAATCATTATTTTAAATTTTATCCCTGTTATAAACATTCTTGTTTCTTGGGATTAATAAAGTTCATTATTATTATTATCCACTTTTCATCACACGTGGCGATTCGATCCGAAAAAGAAGTTTTGAACCATCATTACATGAGAACTGTCCAATATATTATTTAGGGAAGACTTTGTGGAAACAACTTAATTCTTAGGGGTTAACATTGATAATATTTTAAAATTTGATTATCAGATTATTTCAAGTAAAAAAATCGCCTCAGGGTGATTTGTTATCAAAACAGTTGTGAATGGATTGGGTATCAGCCAGTCAAAAATTTAATTATGCTTTGGTAGAGTCCTACCTGCAATACGGAATAGAATTTTAGAATACAAAAAAAGCACTCAGGTACTAATACAAAGCTAATATAAGTGATTCATGTAAACCACTTTTTATCAAACATGAAATATCAACAGTACTTTCATCAATCATACATTACCGCGTGTTCTGTCCGCTAATTTACTCGTTAACATGATTAATATTCAGGAGAGATGCATATGACATGCTCCAGGTTCAGGTGAAAAACACCTTACCCCTTGCCCCTCATGTAGACCTACGACTTTGTAGGTACGTGTGGTAGATACACGACGGAAAAACAACAACTAACCCAGCTAATGCTGCGCAGAGAGTTGAAGTAAAACCATCAGGCACCTGTGCAATGTCTTCAATTCGGAAGATTCGTCGCAAGTTATTTTCCACTACGAAAAGCAGAAATTAATTTCATTTGGTCGATGCGACCAACTGATAACCGGTTTCGGGGTACTTGCCCATCATCAGTACCGGGCATGGTCTCTTCAGATCGGAGTGACCCGTCTGAGTATCATGACCAAACACCTGCACGTCGTCTTGATTTCAAACAGGTTGGAGCCTGGCTCCCTTACCCTTTGGACTGATTCATGAACAAACAAATATAATTCCAGCTAGTCATGAACTCTTTCTGCAGTTGATTCAGTGGGATGCCCACTGCGCCACCTGCAGACAAATTAGGAAACAACTCCACAATCACATACTCCGTGGTGGGTGTCGGAATAATGATTGGTATTCCGGAGAGGTGCATATGACATGCTCCAGGTTCAGGTGTGGCAGATACCCGACAGAAAAAATCAATGTCTACATTTCATAGTGGAAATAACTGATGAATCTTCCCAATCAAAGACGTTGCATAAGTGCCTGATGGTTTTACTTCAGCTTTCTGCGCGACATTAGCTGGGTTAGTTGTTGTTTTTTAGTCGGGTATCTGCCACACGTACCTATAAAGTTGTAGGTCTACATATAGGTCTATATATTATATTTTATCGAAAAAGGTTAATGCAGTCAAGCGGCTGGAAAATAATTCCATGAAAATAAATCAAAAGATAAATAGAAGTATTATTCTGATCAATCCCACAATGATTTCAATTTAAGAGCCACCGGTAGACAGCTGTTTCAGCATAATGCACATCTTCAGTATTCAGTATTGGCCAGGCGATCCTCGATTGAAGACAATATGTGTTTGTTATCTTGTTTCAGTCGAATTTTTGGGCCGTAGACCCCTTATTCTTTCGGCTGTTTGAGTTTTTTTTTGCTGTGTGTTCTTATGACGGGGCGGCAGGAGATTGCATGGTCCTCTGACGACTTCTTTTGGTTTTTGTCCCTGTGTGCAGAAGTCGCAGCGTACTTCTGTTTGCTTTGCGGCCGTTTAGGCACTGTTTCAGGTTTTATTTTCCGGCAAGCATGGACTGCAGTACCGGAAACTTCAATAGAAGCGCCTGCAGCTGCCCTAAGGCCGTTGGGAGACCTTCGGGATAGCTGCAGGCGTTCTCTGATGCTGAGATTGCCCTCGCGTACGAGACGTCGCTCCTGATTGAGTTTCTTTCGACAGGCCTTGGGTTTGTGGTCTGTCTGTTTTCGTTCGGCCTATCTGAGCCCCTTTTTTATTTTCAGAGCGTTCTGGGCACCCATGGAAGCTCGCTGGGTGTTCTCCCTTGCAGTTAAAGCATCGCAAGGGCGAGTTTTTAGGTCATTTGCATTCCTTGGTCATGTGCCGTCCGGCACATCTAACGCAGGCTGGTACTGCTTTACAGTTACGTTGCGTGTGACCGAACTTTTGGCATCTGTAACACTGCCCTGCTCGGCTTCTGTGGTTCGCCGCTTACACGCACGTTTTGAATTTCGGTGATCTCATAAATGTTGTTTTGGCTCCTTGGAACCAAAACAGGCACAAATGGTATCGGTGCCTTGTTAGCTTTACTCAGCCGGGCTACGGAAAGGATCTCAAATCCTTTGCCCTGGAGTTCAGCCTTGATGTCGTCGCACTCTATAGATTTCGGAACCCCGCGAAAAACTACTCTGAGTGGTTTTTCGCTTCTCATTGTATAGGTGTGGTACGGTATCTTCTCATGATCGAGGATTCTAGTGATTTTCCTATAGTCATCTGTATTTTTTAGGCAAACTTTGATTCCATCTGTTGTGTTCACCGCTCGCAATAAGGAGATGTTTTGCGCAGCGGCAATCGTGTTGAAAGCTTTCCACTTCTCTTTTGCGCGGATGGTTATGTGGAGGACTATCCGCTTTTTCACTCAAAAGCCCACTCAGTTTCCTGAGTGGCCTTTTGAGTTGGGATTTCCAGTACCACGCCCGGCTTTTGTGATAAGATGGGTGATTGACATGCCCTATCGAACCACAATCCTAGCCAAAAGAGAGGAGTCATCTCTACTCTAACCGAACGGGCTCGGAGAATATGTGAACTAGAACATCAGGGAACTGAAATACCTTGACACCGAATGGATACAGTGCCTCCGAGACCAGAAAAGCCAAGAAACCGAAAGGCACGACGGTTCAGAAAGCGAAAAAGGATCAGATAGTTGCACGCGCATATCTATCGTTTATCCCTAGGGTCACGGACATAATTGGAAAGCTATTGGGCAAACACGACATCAAAACAGTCTTCAAACCCACGAGGAATATACAACAGAGCCTCAGGTCGGCTAAAGAGAAAAGATACCCATTATCAGCAGCAGAGGTCTATCGCATACCGTGCACGTGTGGAAAGGTATATATCGGAACCACCAAACGATCCATGGGAACAAGACTAAAAGAGCATAAAAGGAACTGCAGACTAGGCCAAACTGACAAGTCAGCTGTGGCAGAACACGCACTTAGTGAAGGAGACCACAGAATTTTGTTTGAAAACACAGAAGTAATTGCCCTCAACCAGGGATACCATAGCCGACAGGTACGGGAGGCAATAGAGATCCACAAACACACGGAGAATTTCAACAGAAAAGAAGAAGCGGTGAACCTCAATCGAATATGGAACCCTATTTTGAGGAATTCGAGAATAACGAACACGACAACAGGCAGCGAGATTGTTAATGTTCCAGGTTCAAGTGCAGGTACGACTACAGGTACAAATACAGGTACAGATACAACGGATTACGATTACCTGACAAGGCATAAATACGCTTTACGAAGTCTAAAAGGTAGTTACCGGACACCAAGCCATGATGGTTAAACCTCTGAAGAAGCTAGCCACTCGCGCCAGCGAAACGTCAGGAAGAAATTCCAAAAATCCACGGCTTTCAAACTCGAAAAGCAATGACACTGAAAACCTCAGCCGTGAAAGTCTAAACCATTTTGTTAAGGTGGGTGTGGTTTTATTTGATTTTGGCTTGGTGGTCCATTTGGCCTGGGAAGAACCGGGTTTTATCTGTTTGGTTTGTTGAGCCATTTCTGGTTCTTTCTTCCTCTTTTTCGGGGCCTTTGCCGCTTGACTTTCGCCCGACGTAATATCGTCGTTGTCCTGATCGCTGATGTCAGAGTCGAAGTCGATGAAGTAGAGATTTTTCGTTTCTCAAATTCAAGTCCATTCTCTTTGCATAGAATTTATATGCTTCCACTAGTTCAGTACTACTTATGTCGTAGTATTATAGTTATTATAGTACTATGATAGTTGATATTATAGCCAGACCTGCTTCTCTTGGCTTTTTACGAACTTTCGTAAAATTGAAAATCGTTTCTATAACTTCTTCCATCTCGAAAGAAAGATGTTACACTTCGAAATTAGCACAACAAAAAAATTAGACAATATGTGGAAAGCGGAAAGTCTTCTTCGTGTTGTTCTGGCTTGGAGTCCAGCTCCCTTACCCTTTCGGCTGATTTTTGGTCTCGAGAAGGACCAATGGGTACATAACAATGGGGATGGCGGTATGAAGTCCTTAGACATCAGTGCCGCCCTTCACGGGATACCACTACCTGGCTGGGGTGGGTTGGATGAAAAAGTTATTCATCCGTTAACGGGGGACATGAGGGCCTCATTCGACAGACTGTCGGGGCCTTCTATATCGGGAAGGGTCTTCTACAGCATAATCTGTGGCTTCCCTAACTAACGGGTTTTCGTGAGTTTCCGTACCTCCAAAAACTCGCTAATTCCTCGTCTGAATGGACTGCCGAATGGAAGGCAGCTGCAAATCTCTGCGGATGGCTTCGTTCCGCACGAACCAAGGAGCATTCACAATCATCCTAATTAACTTATTTTGTAGTCTTTCCAAAATGGAAATGTTGGACGGAGCCGAGACAATATGTGACGACGACGTTAACCATCTTGATTTTATTCAGGTTGAAGCCTGGCCCCCTTCCCCTTTTAACTGAAGTTTGTCAGAAAGACAAACGGGTCATGACTGATGTTTGATGGTGGCATGAAAGTCCTTAGACATCCATACCGCCCTTCGCGTTATACCCCTACCTGGCTGGGGTGAGATAGATGAAGATATTATTCATCTGTTAACGGAGGACATAGGGGCCTCATTCGACAGAGTGTCGGGGCCTTCTATATCGGGAGGGGTCGTCTACAGCGTAATCTATAGCTTCCCTGACTAAATGACAATATGTGAATAACCAAGAAAAGTACTTGATAAAAATAACCGTGTGAACGCATGCGAGACATAAGTGAAACCACCTATTGGCGTGATACCCAAGTCAACTTGCCAAGTTTTAAGTCAATGTTGGTGGTTTGACCAATGAACTGACAACTGCGGTAGCAAAATTTGGGTATCCTGAAATGCCATCGGAAATAGAATTCACATGTTATAATTGTGAATAATTGGGAAAATGAATCATTATTAATGTCACAAGCAGTGTTAGTATCATCAAAAGTAAACAAATAAAAAATTCACAATAGTGAATTACTAGGGAACATAGCAATATATTTGTGATTTTTCAGGTACTTCTATCCGTTCAGTGAAAGATACTCCTCGAGTTAACCTAACAGCTCAGACCAAACCAACCTATCGTAGAAGGTCTATTACATCCACAAGTTCTAAGTGAGTATATTTTTAGTTTTGTTCACTACTCTTTCAATTTGCTTGGCTAACATGCTTAATTTTTTTTAGCGAGATGAGCTTCTTAGACCATCATTTTTACGTAGATGCTGGAGTAGCTTTACCAGATAATTCTGAAGGTTCATCTGTTGAACGAAGTAAGTCTAGTATCGAGAACAGTATGTCACATTTGACGATAGAGAGAAAGATGTATGTGAAGGAGGAAAATACATCAGAAGTATCTGTTGAAAACACCAATGTGGAAAATATGTCTGATGAAGATTTGATTGAGCGGGAAATATCCACAACTAACATTACAGACGATGAAAAGGCAAACATTCAGAAGATTAGCAGTTCTGAAAGCGTCACCAAAAGTAAACTGCCAGTCGAGTCAGTTAAAAAAAGAAACAAAAGGTATTCCTGCGTTCTCACCGCAGATCATTCATCGTTCAAAAACTCTGAGAAGCGTAGAAGTCTGAATATAGGAGGCGGTGAAGTCAGTAAAATTCCAGTTTGCTTCAAAACTGGCAAGAAAATTGAAGAAAAATCAAATATGAGACGAAGTAAGTCCAGCAGCGTACAAAGTATTTATAGTAGAAGTCGAGTTGAATTAACGTCCAGCTCATCAGCTCCAAAGTTGACATCAGACATTCAACAGAGAGGAATGAACATAGAAAAGAAAAGTAACTTTCGTGGAACAAGGCTCTACAATATTAGCGGGGATAATATGGGTAATTTAGAGAGTATTAGTAGAGCCGAGGTCAAAGAAAATGTGCCAATAGATGACAGTATTAAAACTACCATATCCAAGCACAATAAAGGATCTACTCCAGCCAAAGTATCTAATTTACCAGTATTAAAAAGGTAAGTGTATAGTTGATGTGCACTCATGTCTCTATAGCTTGAAATGCTTCTACCATTTCTTCAATAGTCAGTGATGAGTTTTCTATTTATTCCACTGCAATCATCATGTTTATGATTATTTTTTGATTCATTATAATGGATCCCCTTCTGCAAGCAATCGTTGCTTGAAATTCAATGATTGTTCTACTCTAGAACTTCATGAATGTATATAAAGCACGGGGTGTTCCCAAATTTTTATTTCATGTGTTATTCCTGAGGTTCTTTTTATTGAACACTATATCTTTTGGAAAACAAAGTATTAGTTTTGAATTTCGACCTCATAAGAAGTTAGTGAAAGCGATTACAAATATTGAGCAAAATTGGATTGTATTTTTCCAGCTTTATAAAATTTGTTTTCGCAATATTCACCAAACAAACTAGTAAACAAAAAGTACCTTGTATTTTATTGTGTTCAGTGGGGCTGACAAGAGTTTAGGAAATATTTGTCAAATATCAAATTTCCTATTTTTTTTTTAAATTAAATCAACACCAAAAATAAACAAAAGTGTAATCACAATTACTTGATGTTAATTGGTACATGGGATGTTTCTTCCCCGCTTAGGGCTTTGTTCACGAGATGGAGCTGTTACTAGTTAACAATCTCGAAACCGGTCTGTAGGTGATCTACTCGTTTGATTTTAGCGAAGTCCTGCAGTTGGGTGAACGAGAAATACCTGCGAGACTAACTTCTGTGAGGTATCTTGCATAAGTGTCTGTCGGATATCATTCAAAATCCAGCATGGTATTAGCCGGGGAAGTAGTTGTTTTCAGGCAGTTGTTTACCAGAACCTACATATCAAATTTTATTTCGAAATATTTATTTTCTAAGATTAAAGTTGTTAATGAAACTTGCCTATTTTAAACAAAATTATCTGTAAATTGCTTTGAGCAGTTGATAATATTGTTTCAAACCGATTTATTTGTATACTGATGAAAATGAAAAAATATGAAGTTTATTTTTTTCTCAATCCTGTCATCTTTTTTCCATTAAAACAGTTATAACTTTAGCCTTTACTAAAATCTATACTGGTTCTGAAATTGGGTTTTTATTTTTCAGACGTTCGGTGCAGTCCAATCTAAAATAAAAATATATATGATATGTATTTACAATATTTATTAAATATTTATTGATGTAATCGATGTTATGTATTGTTAAAATGTAATAAATAACTTTATTTTTCCAAATACTATTTACATATGCTGTTAATTTTACTGAATAAACATTCTCAAGGAAAAAGTTTGCTTATTCACATTGAGTCAAGATATTTTCTACTGCTTCAACAAAACTTTTGAATACTGCCGTTGGAGGGGGAGTAATTTTTTTCTCGTCTCCAGGTTTGTATTTTCCAGTTTGTACTAAATAACCTTGTAGTCCCGCACTCATGGCGCCTTGAATGTCATCAGTCACATCCTAAAAGCACTTTACTGTAGAAATGAATATCTGAAAATATGAATTTTCTTACATCTCCAATTATGACAGCTTCTTCTGGTGGAATGTCTCCAAGCGCAGTCGTGAAAAATACTTTATTTGGTTTACCAACTATTTCGGCAGTGCACTGCGCAGAGTATTCTAGGCCTTTGACAAAGCAACCTGGTCCTAGAGCTAACCCATCAGCTCTCGCGCAATATTTGCCAGCATGAATGGCAATCAACTTGGCACCTGCTTGCAGATATCTGAAAGAGTTTTGCTGAGGAAATGGATATTTTCTTCGTGGTAAGTCTAAGATATGATAAAATAGGGTGTTGTTAAATAACACTTTCTGATATCAACAAGAAAACTTAGAAAATTCATTTGCCTTGTTGACTATTTTAGAAAATAACGGTCAATTACTCTTCATGACTATAAAACAGCATAATTGTGCCTAATAAGAAAATTATAAAATTTATAACAAAGAGGTTTAGCTTATTTTTCGTGACATTAACATTTTACAGACTGTTGGAAGTGCTTGTATATGTCAATGGAAGTCTTCGGAAGCATTTATCTCACAGTTTATTATTGATTCTCCAGATGTAAAGGAACATTATGTTTTGAAAATCTTTCACGATAGCCATAATTTCTAATCAAAAGTGGAATGATCTACCACTTCTAAAGATATTGTCAAGATAAGAAACATGAAACTTGTCAGTGAAGGCGATGACATTTCCTCTTACAAAGTTTCATCTGTAGGATCGACAGAAGACTCAATCCACGAATATGAAAGATAAACAAGGCTTCCGAAGGTGATTAGTTTCGAAGCCAAGCTTTGTCATTGACCGCCAAACAAGATGTGTCCATTGTTTTGGCCTGCCAGTGTGCTAAAGTGAATCATGAATGCACTGCTTGGTTCAATATCTTTGATTTCGAAGATTAAGACTTCTGCCAATCTCAGGCTTTTTCTTCAAGAGAATTTGAGTTGTTCATTCTAGCACCACTGATGGGAATTATATAAAAAAAGCGCAATCTGGTGTTAGATTACAAATGCCTCGGTTTTTCAAACCCTGGTTTCAATTAAGCTTGTCATTATTTCAATCATGGGGCTCTTTAAGGCACATACATAATCTAGAACTTTTTTTTCAACAAAAACTTTTACAAAAATGAGTATCTACGATACATCATAGATGTTTTATGTTTCTTAGTGAAGCAAATGATATGACCTGAAGAATAAGTTTATTCCATCTCTAATTTAAAATACTTTAAGGATACCTGAATGCTTCGTTGAGCCGTTCATAATGAAACTCCGTAGGACAAAGGCCAATAACAACAGCATTGGGAGATTCATTTTTAGGACAAGCTAGTCCTTCAAAATCTTCCAAAGCTTCAGGGGAGAGCATTAGCATGGGTTTTAGTTTACGTTCTAAAATCAGTGATCGTGCGGCTCCCAGTGAACTGAATATATCATCTTTTTTCAACTCGAAACCCAAATTCATTAATCTGTCATATAAAATCTTCTTGCTTTCTTTTGTGGTATTGGTAACAAATCTGACCTGGATATTCTTCTGGAATAATCTAAAAAATATATTCCTTTGTAAAAATATGATGCGGTGTATAGATTGTAATAATGGGCCCCAAGACTTTTCACCCCATAAGAAGACAGACGATTTCCTCAAAAGGAAGCATTATCTATCTATTCTCCGTCCTGTCACTTTGTTCAGTAACATTTCATTTATTAGGTCAAATTTCCATTGTAGGAATTCTTCCGTCATTATTAGTCTCTTCACAAATCACCAAAAAGGTGAAAACATACGTATACTTTCTGTTTCGTAAATAACACCTCATTTTAGGTAAATATGATTGAAAAACTACAAAGTCATGTAATTTGGCTGAACAAGAACCCACTTTTTCAGGGCTTCCACACTTCCATGTATTGCCTGATTTTCGATGTGCAATGTTCCACTCAAGTCTATCAGAACAGCTCGAATCATTTTTAAACTCCAATTATTATGTTTCCGTTAATTTGAATAAGATGTAAAATTGATAAGAAATGAGTACATAACAGATGCTATAACCACATTATTTTAGTTTGGCCTCTGCAAACGGAGATATCCGACCACAAACCACCTCAGTAGTTTGTGTATCCGACTTCACCACGGTAAACTGAATCTGTGACCTTGAGAAAAAGAGAAAAATTCTGAGGATATCATCCTTGTTTGCAGGTTAACCAAACTAAAATTTTACCTTTTCCTGGTTTAAATCTCGACATCCCCATAAAAATACCGAAATCATTAACCTCAAATTGAGAAATAACCAAAGTTGATAAGATTTAAAAAAGTTTTATAATGATCAATAGGATACAGAAATTATAAAAATTACATTAAAATAAACAAGAGTATTGTAAGTAACACAAAGCGCCATCCTTCAGATGACACATTCGCATTTTGATTGCAAAGAATACGTTGGAAATAAACTTCGTCAATCAAGACCAGACCAAAACGACCTTTGTCGACTTCATCGAATCCCGATCGTAGCGTTTGTTAAAAATATGTTTTTCCGTAAACCAGTTATACTACTACGAACGACGACTCTCAAAAGTTGAAACTCGTGCGAGCCAGGTTTTAACGTGGTCTCACCTTTCAACGTGCGATTTCTAACACCTAAATATATAACGACGACTTCGCAAATATTAGTCTAGTTCTAAAGTATATTTATGAACAGTGATGTGATAAGCATAAATTAAAATATAATTTCATATTCATATAAGTGTCACGAGTATTATTCCTCTTGTATTGAAAAGAGTCGACAGTAAGTAATAATTTTCACTTCTAGGCACAATATAATTTTCTGAAATGCATATACATTCATGGAATGTATATACATTATATATGATAGTAAGGTGTTAAAAATATCCAGTAAATAATGATTATTTTTCGGGTATCGTAAAAATTAATAATAACAAATGTGTTCAATATTGAAGACATTATTCTTTATTGAAACCAATTATGGCTCTCTTGGAACTGTATACTGATATCATAAATTATATTTCGAGTAGGTATGTAGAAGGTTTTCCGTTGCTGAACAATCTGATGAACATACAAAATGTTACGAAATTTATTATTCGGTTTCCTTCTTAGTTGCGTCAGCACTAAACTAACAATCAATAATTTCAGAGCACAAATGAAAAGTAAACAAGTTTTCGAAAAGTGTTTTGAAGATATTGTCCATAAGGAAATTTCCAATACCTTCAACGTTATTATAAACAGTAGGAAAACATTTATTGATTTTCCTGTTCCATATCTGGGCAAAACTGATATTGATTTCCAAAATATAGACTTACTTGAGAAATTTGAAAAAGCACCCAGTAGTTTCATAATCACTGTCGAAGACGTTGAAGAATTCAACGATACACTTTCCAAAATTTCATCAGCAAATTATTTTTGGAAAACACACTTGATGCATTATATACTTATACTGAAATACGAAATTGACTTACCACAAGTCGTAAGAATATTATGGTTCCACAATTTTTACAAGAGTATCATATTATTTGATCTACAGTCAAAGGTAGAAATGTATAGCATTCATTTTGAAAGATGCGGCGAAAAAATATTGCCTATGAAAATCAACGAATGCTATGGAAGATCGTTTAAAAAAACCACACCAGTGTTCGAACCTGATATGAGAAGAAAACTTCATAAATGCCCATTCAAAGTAATTTGGGTAAAAGTACCGCCGTGGGTTAACGATGTGAATGGTACTGAACCCGGTATTTTCATCGAGATAATTGAAGTTTTCAAGGATGTCAGCCAACTCGACGTAATTTTCATGCCGGAAAATAAAGTTTATGCAAAAGAATTATCCGAACGATATAGTTTTGACAGCATGGTTGATGATTTCGATAATAAAAAGGCAGATTTATTCGTAGGACTTTCTATTTTTGTTGATTATTTGAGAGTTTCATCTATTTATTCTATTGACAGTCATTTGTATATTATCATTCCAAGACCGAAAACAATTCCGTATTGGAAAAATGTCCTAATGCTATTCTCATTGCAGAGCTGGATATCAATGACTTTGACGTTTTTCCTGGCAGCAGTTGTATTTCACATTGTAGTTAAAAAATCTCTAGATGAAAACAGGTTCGGTTCTTCAAAAGAGATCGTTTTTTACGCTTTGACAGTTAGTCTCAATATGGGTTTTCATAAAGTTCCAAAAACAACGAGACTGAGGACTTTGATTGGTGAGTATTTCATTGTTTGTGTTATCAAAAGAACCTTCTCTATTATTTTGAGATTGCTGTACTTATTTGCAAAGCTGGGCATTAATTCATTAACGAAGTTAACATTTCCACTAACGAATTACCTTTCAAGTTAACTTTCCATCAGACTAGTCCGGTTATCGTTAATCCAGTACCTACTATTTGAGTAACAAAAACAGTGTCGCGCCGCCGTAAGAAACATGTTCTATCAAGTTTGTTCGTGTCGGTTGGCAGGTGTGGCGCTACGCGTGTCGCGAATGAAACTGACGTAAACTGTATGTCTTTCCGGCCCGTGTGAGTGAGAAAAGGATATCGCGAAGAAATTTGATTCTTGTGTATGATTCCAATATTTTCTTTTACAAAAACTTCAAATAGAGGTGGATATTGAAGACTCAAATAGTTGTGAAAAATGAACTGAAATCTCCGACAACACTCTTATAACAAACCTAGTCCAGATCGCGAAATGAGGAATTTCAGAATTTCGTACATATTTATTTGAGTGCACTCATTTGAATTAATATCTACTGTAACTTTGTACTAATTTATTTTATTACGAGAAGATCACGCAAATCTTTTTTTCAGGTTCTTGGATGTTTTACACTCTGATCCTCGCTGCAATTGTTCAAGGAAAATTATTTAGTTTCATTAGCAAACCACCTTTAGAAAAGCCTATTACGAATTTGGAAGAACTTGCAGCGTCTGATGTCCCAATAAAAGCTCTAGAAGTTACTAAGCGTTTGTTCATGTTCAAAGATAAAACAAATGATATCATTTTGGAAAAAATTGAAATTTTAGAAAAAGTGGAAAGTTTGAATATCATTGCCGGTTACGCTCTCAAACAAAATTTTGCCACAATAGTTGATGACGGTGTCCTGATTTTGGAACCGAATTTCAAAAAACTGATGCAGTACTTCACTATATCTAACATTCTGATGGTATTTTACATGCCCTTCGACCATGTACTGAATGAATACTTCGAAAAAACTTTGCATAGAATAGTGGAAAGTGGTTTTTTTAGCCAGTCCATATCCAAATGGAAACACATCTACTCTTTGAGAAGTAAAATAGAGGAGAAAGAAAAAACGGTGTTCAGTATTGGCGTACATCAAATAGAATCCGCATTTTTTGTGCTGGCATTTGGTATAACATCCGCTTTTTTAACATTCATTTTGGAACATATCACACACATTTTTACTTCAAGGCTCGCTTCAAAGTGTGATAAGACTAAAACTTATACATCGTTGATTTACATCGAGTGATTCACTATGAATATACCACTATTATATATTACCTAGTATACTAAAAATTCTATATCCTTATAGAAACTGTTGCGTCAAAATCGAATGTATTTTTTTGAAATCATATCATATTTACAGGTAGAAATAGATCTTTCAACGGTACAAACGTCCATATAGGACGAAACTGCAGTAACGTTAGTTATAATTAAAAGTGGTAAAAAACATAGAAATTTTCATTTCTCTTTTCACTACAAAATGAGTTGAAAAAAATTATTATTAATAATACAGTCATTTTGCAATCACGTTCGTTACTGTTTTTCACCGAATGAGCCTTTTTCCTGAGAATAGTACAGCGAACGTGTCACGAGAGGCGGCACTAGCGGTAGGGACAAACATAAACTATTCAGATGTAAAACAGTGTTATTTACGTAATATTAATTTATTATTTAACAATATAAATCTGATATAAAAAATTATTTTGTGCCAGTATGATGCTAACAAAGCATTGCTGTTAGCATCATGAGGTTAGATGTAAGAAATGGATACATGCTTCGAGGAGAGTGGATTTAACAGTGCAAAAAATAAATAAATATTCATATGAATGCTCTAAACATGAAATGAATAGTAAATTTTTCATAGTTAATTACCATTGATTAGAATGAGATATAACCTCAATCGTTTAAGCCAACAAAGCATTGCTGTTTTGCGAATTGTACGTCGGATAATCGATATCCGGAAGAAAACATGTTTTTTATACCATTTACAAAACCTCATAATAATGAGGTTAGATGTAAGAAATAGATACATGCTTCAAGGAGAGTGGATTTAACAGTGCAAAAAATAAATAAATATTCATATGTATGCTCTAAACATCAAATGAATAGTAAATATTTCATAGTTAATCACCATTGATTAGAATGAGATATAACCTCAATCGTTTATTAAATTATATTCATTATATTTAATTAAATTTATTTCATTACCATCTATATTTGATTCATATTTCACTCGAAAATAAGTCTGTAATTCATAATTATTTTTAATTTCATTTATTACAGTTTGAATCTACCGCTACTCTTTTACTAGAGTATGTATACTAACCTGTCTATTAATTTACTTTTTTTCCAGTTACTTTTAAATTACGGCATGTAAGCCAACGTTTAGATGTTACAACATTGTTATCCTTTACAGTTGCAAATTTTAGTTTTACTCCAGGAACATCTTCTGTTAAAAACATATTGTACATTACATATGAGGATTAGGCAGTGTTTGTCCCTACCGAACTACTAGCGCTGTTAGCGAGTGATTTTTCGTACTTCAGGAAAAAGGTTCATTGACTGCATGTGGAGATTAACACAAGTATGTTTCCAAACATATTTTAAACAGTGATTATAAACCTAACTCAATTTGAAGTTAGCAATAGGTTGAATGCAGCTTTGTTACTTATGTAATGAATAATTAAAAAAAAGTTGTATATTTCCCACATAATTTTCTGTTATGATGTACCTACCATTTTATTTAAACGTAGAAAATTGACAAATGTCGTCTACTAGTATGTGAAAGCAACAATTATGAATGTCAAAATCATCAAGGAGCCGCTGCTTTCAGGTACTTGTGTCGTAAAGTGACAAATGGGCAGGCAAGACTTAGCTAGAAAAAAGCTTTGTCCGGGGGCGCAGCGGTCCTGCTAGAGGCAATTTTGCCGACCTAAGTTTTTTTCGTTCATTTTTTTTTTATAAAAACATTTTAGCTTTTACTGGTCGCCTCCTTCTCTTCGAATCCGTCGACATCCAGCCTGGTTACTGGCGTAGGGGTCCGCCACTTCTTTCATTTTTCACTTCAATATTAAATTTAAACGTATATTTATTTTAGATTACACTCTATTTTTAGTTTACACCTTTTGGACTCCACTCCGACATACACGTGCCATCTTTGAGGGTGGTCGTTATCGGCACAACCGTCCTCTGTCGCGGTCGGAGAGGAAGTCCGTTTGGTATTTCAATTTTTTTTTATATCAAAACGAATTTTACTTGGCGATAAAATAGCATACATATGTGAGTCACATATGCGAGATTAGAGCGAATGATTTGCGTATGAGCGCTATAAATTACCCACTCATGCAATAATTTTGTGAATTATAAGCTAGTTTCATAATATACTATTATATGTATTCATATATTTTTGTGCAGTTTATGTACTGTACATATTTCCTTCCTCTTTTAACCTAATATTATTGTGATATATGTTTATATTTATACTGACATCTATCTATGTATTTGAGCGTCAGATGCCCTGATGCGACAATCAGATCCGAAAGTAGGAAATACGCGGCCGCCCTAAGCATATAAAGTTACCTATAGATAAAATTACACGATATTTGATGCTCTATCTGAAGTTGCTCATTCACATGAGCATTTGCCCAAAATGAACAAGCGAGCTGAGATAAAGAGACCAGAGGGTCACGCTCCGCATTAACCATTGCGTCGATTCCATGCACTGGAAGTTCCAGTGCAAGGTGTTCCAGTCTGGAACACCTTAGGATTTTCAATTTATTCTGAAGTCAGGAATACGATGGCTCGTATTGTTCAGTTTGACCACAAACACGAGATGTTTATACTCATTGAGCTAAAACTGAGCACATGCTCTTTTTGAAGCACTGAAACCTCCCGCATTGAGTTGAAACTGGCGGATCCATTCAGCTTACCCTGTATGCGTCTTCACAAAACAGCATGAACGAGTCCTCATGTTCATACGTGGCTTGTAAAGTCTTCGATATAATAGTGTCCAAGATGAGACGGGCCTGTATGGGAAAATCAGAAACCGTAATTAGGAAAAAGTTACCCACTTCAGAATTTATTTGAATGATGTTTCAAAAATTACTAAACAGTAAAACACTAAATTACTGAAAGTGACAATAATTTATTTGGTTCCATTATGCATATCACATGTTGTTCGTGTTTATATAAGTCTATCAAAGAATTTAAAGCATAGTCAAAAGAAGCAAGGCATGCATAAAGCCGAGCTCACATAGTGAAATAGAAATATCTTTCTAAAAATAAATTAACGAATTCATCATAAAAAAAAACCTGATTAAGCATTAAGCTTTCCAAACTGAGATTTCAGATGCATTCCTAAAAGTCAGCTTCGACCAGAGCCATTATGGTGAAATTGATGTCTTCAGAGTCTCTCTCGATGAATGCTTTACAAACTCTTGCAGCATCCTATAAACAATATAAAACATATTTTTGGGTTGTCATTATCCAGAATGGCTGTGAGAAACAGGTTATTTTAATAATACGATAAAATCCCAGATGAACTAAAAAATGTAAAACCTTTAATAACCTTCAAAAACAACTAACTATTATATACCTGAAATTATTTTTATAAAATTTTCCAACAGCCTTCTAAATAATCAAATTCAAACTATTGTCAAATGTTCATATAAAATATAGAATACCTGTTTGAACTCTAGGTTTACAAATGTACAAAACAGCAACATATGTTCTATACAATGGGGAATGTTCCTCCTGACAAAAATCAAGTAGTTTTCATAAAAGAGCTCTAAAACAACGCATTTTAAACTTATCATTTCAACCCTTTTCTTAAAAAAAATTATTTAAATACTTAAAAAATGGGAATGAAATAATGCATTCAACATTTAAAGGGATTCGTTTCTATTTCACCATTTGGCAATATCGGTTATAGCTAATAAAGGACAATGAATCTGTTACCTCTATGAGACAAACAAAGATGACATATTTCAGAGGCGTGCTGTTCTGTTTACTTATGTTCTGAGTTCCGAGACATTCTGTAACATATGATATTTTGTGCACCTAACCTATCTTCCTCTATATAAATAAATAACAAAACAACTGTTGTTTATGTGGCTTGTGGAGGTGATATTGAACAATATATCTAGGAACGTATAAATTCTAGGCGCTGTTGCCAATATGTGAATTACAAACAAGAAACATTTTATTGTGAGTTTTTGTAAAACTGTTGAGTAAATATCACACATTAGAGTGTTTCTTGAATAAGTTGTAGATTTTCATCACAATCACATCACATATATTATATATGGAAGATATTATGTTGCGATTTTGTAAACTGTTACTAGAAAATGGAGCCATTTATAAAATATTCCATTAACTCAGCGATAGAATAACAGAAAACTCACTTCTACAAATGTATCTTTTGTAGTAGGGCCATGGTTAATTGGAAATTCCTTTCTTCCATCTAATTCGTACAGTTCACCATCTTTCTCTATGAATGCTATGAAGTGATGGTTGACCTGCTCATTTGGATTAACCTGTCGAGAAAAATATAGAAGAGGATGATTGGTTCTTTCACGATAAAATTATTTCTCGGCGCAGAAATTATCAAAATACTGAAATAGACAATACAACATAAAAATATAAACTGTTGCAATATCCCTTGTATAATCACAGAAGTTTAAATACTCTCAAAAATGAAGGTATAGTCATAAAACTGATGGATGTAGCCGTTACTACGTGGTAGGAAATCATAATGAAAAGAGAAATGAAAATGTCTATGTTTTTTACCACTTTTATGTATGTAACAACGTTACTGCAGTTTTGTCCCATACGGACATTTTCAAACATATACTTATACTTATATAAGTGTGAAAATGTCC